TTGCTAGCCAAGTCTGAATTTAAATGTGTGTTCAAATGTCATGGTCATCCTGTTGCTGAGTGAACTTGCATACGTTTATTGTCAAAAGACAAAATAAAAAGCTGGCAGTGAGTCTCTGAACTGATGAGAAACAATATCCCTACTCCTATACTGGGTCAATCTCCTTAAGACATAATAGTCAAAATTTGCATATTAATTTTCCTTGATGCTGCTGTCTTCTATGTGTGGCACCAAGTGATAAGAATGCCTTGGTGACAGCCTGTGTATCCAACACAGTGTGACACAGAGAGGAGATAGCAAAAATCAGTGTGCACAGCTGTGATTCTTCTGCTGGCCATAACGCTGCAATTAAAATGATGCGCCCCCCTTCTCTCCACAGTACAGTACAAGATCATGTTCATCATTTCAAGCCTATTAAGATTGCTCTCTGTTCATTTTTAATCTATAGGTAGACTCTGGTTCTCAATTATGCCTCTAATCATGTGCAAGTAGAGCATCAGTATGTTAGAAGATCCAAGAGATTACTGGGTATATGAAAGTAATCAAAGTCAGAAGCTATGGTTTGGGGGGGGGGGGATTACTTCTGGCTTCAAAGTGGCAGATTATTTCTGAAAATGTACAACACGGTTTTCACACTTTGCAGTGCTAAAAGTCGTGCCAGCTGGCAATACACAGACATCACTCCAAGTTTGAAAAACAGTCTTTACAAGAAAGAATTTAGAAATGAGAAGAATCCGATATTAAAGCTGGACCTGCCTGAATTTAGGATTAAAGTAATAAGCAGAAAGAGACAGTATTAAAGCTGAACTACTCAATATTTTTACATTAACAACGTCCTTAAAATTTATTTGGGTCTTATTTTGTAGTTGTGGCCCTCATTCCTATCAGTGATAATAACACTGTACTCAAAGTTACAGTTTTTCTCGATTGCTTAAACACATTTCTTGAAATTATGCCTCTTTTTCCTCTAAACTCTAAACACAAATCCACAACTTCTCACCCAATTCCCCACACATCCTCAAAACCATTCAATCTTGCTGAAAAACCAAACTTTGCCCTCAGACATATACACAAGCCCTCAAAAACACACACACAATACAACATAGTTTTACACACTGGTGAGAGAAATTCAAAACAATACTACAAAAACTGGTTATTAGTAATGCTGCTTGTGGTTCTCCTCCCAAAGTATCTCTACACATGATAGACACAGCAAAAGAAATAACAAATGTAAACATCTGCACATTTTTTATTCTTTAGTGAACTGTACAGTACAACACACCAAACAACAAATTATTTTGCCCCGTTGTCCCGTCTTTGGTCTGGGACAGCCCAGAGATTGATCTCCACCTCCTCTCCCTGCTACTTCTCAGTTTCCCTCCCCCTTCTCCCTACTCCTCTACCTGCTCCACCTCCTCCTACTCCACCTCCAACTCCTACTGTTCTCTTCCTTTACCTTTACTGCTCTTCCTCCTCTTCTTCCTCTTTCTCTTCCTCTCCGGTGTCTTCCTTCAGATTTCTCTGGATCCATTGTTCCAAAACTGAATAAACTGACTCTGGCTCTTTTATCTATCTACTGAAGCTTCTGATTGGTGTGTTATCAATTTTGACTGTTTGTGTTTCCACCTGGGTAGCTGTGTGCTAATTGAGTTCAACCTATGCCTACTTGAGTGAACAATATTGAATGTTAGTGTTTTCTCAATGGCCACATGGTGTAGGCAATGAGAAATGAAGGGATTTGTGTGTAGAGTTTAGAGAAATGGGTGTGCTTTTTGAAAAATGGAGTTATTATTTTGAAATTTTAGTTCATATTATATTTACATTTACATTTATTCACTTAGCTAAACTTTTATCCAAAGCGACTTACAATTGCTATTTATGTCAGAGTTCACACGCCTTTTATCCACTGCACCATCACCACCCCATATTATATAGTTATAGTGTTTAAGCAACTGAGAAAAACTGTAATTGCTGAAATCTAGGAAGGCTGCAACATCGCTAAAATGTTTTTTTTAAGCAGTAATAAATATTTTTGCATCAACAATGGATCAAATGACTGTGTAATGTGAAAATTGTTGCTTGTCTTGATCAGCCCACAGATAATTATAAGAACTTTGTAGTTCTGCTCAGCTGTATTGTTTTACAGTAAGCAGTTGTTTTCAGGGGGAAAAAAGCTGTAAAAAGCTTCTCTGACTAACCCAGTTTACTCTACCTGCTCAGCACCAGCGTACAGACACAGTTAATGTCTAAGTGCTGATATAGCATAGCTGATAGCATACTGGCACATTTAACAGCCAAAGAGCCATACATTTCCCTCAGACCAAAAACAGAGTTAGGAGAGTGAATATTGGACTTAGATTCGTCCAGTTGACATAAAACAAACTCAAAATGAATGATAATGTTTCTCTCTGCTGGACACATAAATAGACAACTAGTTGCTAGCACTTCAGCGTGATACCAACTTAATAACGTGATAATCAAGTTATGTATAAACTCTTAAGCTGATGATACACGGGGCAACTTTTTGAGCAATCTTGCTAGTGGCAAGTCCGACTATTTTTTGAACAACTGGCGGCAATGCGGTGCGGGGCGGATGGCGGAGTGGTGGGGAAAGGGGATTATGGTAGTAATCTTTACTCATTACCATTGACGGCAACATTGCTCAGCACCATTGCTCTAAAAGTTGCTGCGTGTATCATCAACTTTACTGCCCCCCAAGTGGCCAAAAAAATCGCCCAATGCAGGTTTAAGTAAGATCTTTAACACAGGACCTTCTTTACTTGTATTACAGTATTTTCTACTAATTTCTCAGGAAAAGGAGCTGTATTTTTTTGCACTATTGTATATGTATTACTCTACTTACATACAAAAGATCTGTTGCAACACAAGTGATAGTGAATGCGTCGTCTCCTCTGTGGATTTCTTTGTAAGTTATCTCTGTAAGTTATCTTTAAAACATTGAAGTCCAATGTCATGTTGCCTTTATGACATATAATGCCTCAACATAAGTAGTTTTCTTAAATTCATCATCCAGGCTACAGAAGGTTAAAAGATACAAGTGGTTTACAGTTTTTTAAGGATTTACATCACTTCTGTATTTAGAAGGCATGAGACCAAAAGCAGCGCTGTATTAAGATACAATCCTATTGTGTATATTAACATCTGAGTGAGAATTTGTCTTTGATCCAATAAAACATACTTTTAACAAAGACAGAACAGGGTGCAAATACATATCTGAGCTTTAAAATGCCCAATGTGGTCATCCACACAGTCAGCATCGCAAAATATGAATAGAAATCCAGAGTAATGAGCTAGAGAAAGAGTGCCATGGAGCTGCATGTCTCAAAAGCAGATTAATGAGACCCTAACAGAATTGGATTTGAATATCAATGCTGGCCTATTGCTTAAACTGACATTAATTGCCACCTATTAGATTGGCTCTGCACCCCTGTATTTCAAAACAATCACCGCCATTGAGAGATTAGAAGAGAGGAGGGTGGGAGGCCAAGTGAGTGCTCAGAGCTGTATCATTTGTCAGCTGCTGCTGTGTGGCAGGTTTAACAATTATGTGTGTGTGTGTGTGAGAGAGAGAGAGAGAAAGCGAGAGAGAGCATGAGAAAAATTAAATACAAATTTCTTAACCAACAGAACTCACTGCTGGCCCCTGGAGGCTGCAATGTTATCTGCAGCTTACAATGTATCATGTCATTTGCCATGAATATGACTGATTCTGAGCACCTATAGGACTGTAGATCTGTCAGTTTATTGCGACAAAATGGTCATGTAAAGACATTGTGGTTCTCATGCTGAAGAATAAATTACATTTTAAGAAAAGCCTAAACATTTGAGAACATATATTATTGGAAACTTACATGTGTTTGAGTCATATGCAAAATTATCATGGGAATTTAATGGGAAAGACAAAAGTTTAACTAGCGAGCTAATCTATTAACAAGCTTTGTCTTTTCTTCCTGTGATGTACAGTGTTAATACTTTTTCATGTACAATTTTGTTGTGTGGTAGACAGGTTAGCAAGACTACCGATAACTAGCTAGTGATGTCTTTATTGGCCTCGAAGCAGTCCGTCCAGTCTCCCACACACTACTTCCTGCAGTGGCACTGGACATAAATCGTGAGGTGCAGATTCATCCAATATGGACATAGTGGCTTGAAATCAAATGGGTATATCTTCTTGGGAACATGAATATGCACACCTGATTCCGTGGAAGTCTATTTATTAGGCTAAAAGACACCTTGCTGGTAATATTGACTTTTTGACTAGAGGGCGATTCTAGAGGAAAGCTTGAAGAAATGGTTCATCCTCTGAGGAACAAGTCTATGCAGAGAAAATTTCATTCAGCCAGTCTGTCTCCTCAATCCCAAGTGTACATGTTGATATTTTAGCCTACAAAATGCTAGACAAGAGCTCTGGGTAACCAAAAATCATTATTAAGAATAATACTCCGGGCACCATGAATATCTGTGCCAAATTGCAGGACGATGTAGCCAATAGTTAAAGACAAAAGTGGGCAGACAGAAAGACAGACCAGCCAACCAGCAGACATCACCATCATTAGGCTAGAATGTTCGTGGGCTTAAAATTTTGCATTTCTTTGACAGTAATCATGGAAAACAGAACAAGTGTTTCATTGTTTTTCTCTCTCTTACTCTTCCCCTCTATTTCTCTCTCTTCCAGAGTAATTGATATGATATAAGCGCTGGCAAGTGTAATCTTCTTTTAATTAAGACCTGCTGCTGGCACCGGCTTCAGACTGATAGTGACTTACGGCTCTCTTCCTCTCATTTTTCTTCCCCTCTTCTATCATCTTATTTTTCCTCTGTTGCTACTCCAACTTTGTCTCTCTCGTCTTTCTCTTGTTATCTCAACTCTTTCCTCTAACCTTTTACTTCCTGCCCCTCTTCTCATCTACTCGGTCTCCATCTGACATCCTTTTTCTTTTTTCCCCCCTCCCCTGTCGATTACTTCTCTCACACTGCAGTCCCACCACCATGAAGAGGAAAAGAGAGCCCTCAGTCGAGAAATCATTGTCCTCAACAACCACCTCATGGAAGCGAAAATCACCATCAATAAACTCAGAGAGGACAACGTGAGTACCCCGGTCTGCAACATGTAATATGGGCTCCCACTGACATCTCTGTCAGCATTGTGCATGTAAGCTCACTTGTACAGCATCTGAACTTTTTTGTGTGATGCGACTACAGTTGAGGACATTATATTTCACCTGCAGGGCCCACAACTTCAGCAGTAGGCTATGGCATTCAGGGCCACAGAGATCTGGGGCACTGGGGTGGTTGCTTTCCTTGCCTGGTCAGTAATCCAGCCTTGTTAGCACCTAAACAACAGCTGGCTTGGGAGACTTCATAAAGCTTATTTTCCTGATGGAAACACTTTCTTGTGTCACACTGGCAGCCTTCTGTGAACCTACTATTTGTATATGGCTCATATCCACTGTATTTCTGCAACATCCTGGATATTTGTGCTTCAAGGGGCCACAGCAGATAGAGGAATTAACTCTAAGCCACTGGGTGTTTTTACAGTGATTATACTGAAATCAATGGGCATCCTCAGGGCTGGCAGAATCTGGAGCCAGGGCTGCGTGGATCTGAGCTCAGGGCTATGTGGCAATCTGGTGCCTCACTTTCTTTGAAGTGATTTTACTGGTATTCCTACTGGGGGCTCCAGGTTAGTTTAGATTTTCTCTCTTAGGTCTATGGCAGTTTTAGCACTTCTGAGCTATAGAATATTTTGACAATCCCCTCAGATCCAGCCAGGCTGATTGGAGTCAGGGTTCATTTTGAGTGGGAGGAGAATGAGTGTCCCATTTAGAGCTAGCAGCGAGGCGGGGATTTCCTCCAGAGAGCAAGCTTTAAATTTACTGCTTTTAACATGGGATCAAGTAAATAACCTTTTAAATGTGTCATGCCTGTGAACTGAAAAAGAAATGCACCATATTGAATAAAAAGTGTTGCATTTATATTACTCTTAAGTGATAAAACCATTCAATCTCGTCTCTCAGTCTAGGTCTTGTATTGTAGAGGGCCTCCCATCCCTTCTACATTGGAGCATATGGGTGCCAAGGGGTCCATGGTCTCATAATCTTACTAGTTATACTAGTAAGCATGGATTGCACGAATACCAGTTTTATACAAAGCCACAAGAAACTGTCATAACTCAGTCCCTCCAGGATTTTGAGGGCCTTTTTTGTGATTGTTTCAGCCTAAAATGCCTGATTTTTGCGATTTTGCGGCAGCTTTCCTACACAACTGCTATGTTCTTCGGCTTTTAGATGAAATTGAATGAATAAGTGAAAATTGCAAAAGTAGATTTGATTTTTTTTTTTATTTTGGTATAGTTGAATAATTACACAGTCCCTCCAGGATTTCGCAAGCCTAACCCTAACCATGTATATTTAAACCGACTTACCGTGATTCTTTCAGCACTTGCACTTGACCGGTGTACGACAGCCTGTGTCACAGTGATTTGACTTATCTGACATTCTCTCCATGTATGTTTAGCGGTAGCAAAGTGTTTGTCAATAGATGATTTCTTTTTATGATGGACTATAAAATTGCATATTTTGCAGAACAGTTTACACCCGCTTTGGAAAAGATGATCTGGATACTTTTCACAGCAGGAATGTCAGCCACCAGCGGGCTCACCACCCCGCTGGTGGCTGACATTCCTGCGAGAAACATAACTCACGTTAACTAAGACAACCCTGGGTCTCAAAGGTCTATTTGAACTATCCACAAAAAGGAGCCCAAATGTCCCCTGGCGATAAAATGAAAAGATTGACTGAAAAAGTATTCCCTGTTAACTAGTGGGGGAGTTGAAACTGTCAAAGAGAAACCTTTGATGTTATGGTAAGTATTGTCGGGGCTGTGGTGTGATGGAGGCACAGAGAGGCTACAGTGCAGCAAGAACTGACCTTTACGGGTAGATGGATTTCACAGAGGAGGGAGAGGACAAGCAAGTGAGCTACACAAGCTAACCACCCACACAAACACTTGCATCCATAAACATACAAAACAACTGAACCAAGCATCACCCTCACTCTGCTCTGAAATAGTACAGAAGCACAGAAAAAGAGATAAATTATGCTGTACTAGTTTCCCTAGGCTGGAAGGTGCAGATAAGTGAATGCACTGTTTCACACAAGTCGAAAAAATAATTAGCACAGAGTGTACTGTGCAGATACAAGATATATTACAAATGAAAATGTTCAGTGGTGTTATTAAGATCGTGCAAACCCCTGATGGCAACCTGGTAAAATAATATAGCCAAGGTGAAAAATCTGTGCTAATTAAACTCTTCTAACTTCAATGGATGAATTTGTTCAGTTGATTTGACAGGTCACTAAATCAATGAATTGCCTAATCCAGTGGGCTATTAATCCTAATTTTCCAGTGGAAATTATTGTTACCTCAGTCATGCCAGAGTCCTAGTTTTGTTTCCCCATGAACCATAATTAATTCATAAATACCTCCTAAATAGTAAATATATTTTATTTTTAGATTAGTTGTACATAACTGTATAATTATTACCACCAAGTTAGTAAAATTTGCTAAATTTAAAAAATAATTCAACTACAATTATAAGGCGGGTTACGTATTTTTTCCTGAGGGTGTTTGAAAATATCCTTAGTCAAAAGCTTACTTCAACCATCAGGTGGCCATAATGAACAAGAAAAGCATGAATTTAGTGACTGGGATTCGTTTTTCTGCTTCTTACAGGACCTGTACAGGAAAGACTGCAACCTGGCAGCTCAGCTGCTGCAGTGCTCCAAGTCTCCCTACAGAGCACACAAGATGTCTGAGGTGAGCTCCACAACACCACTGCTATACAACTGCATCAATCTGTCAGTTCAAATTTGCAAAAATAACAAAAGGGTTTGCTGGCTTTAAAACATTTAAGAAGAAATGCTCAAAGATTTTACATTTGGTTAAATTACATTCCAAATAAGACTAGATTAATTATTAGTTTACTCCTCCTCAATAGCAGAAGGATGAAAAGTGTCGAAATCAAGCAGCTTGATCAGGGCTGTAGCGAGCATTAAGGATACTGAGGTTACATGCTCTGTAGCTTTTCTGGGAATTCAGGGGTTTTAGCAAACTTACATTTTCTCATGGTGAGTATTTTTCAAGCTTATTCCAGAATGTTTAGACTGGATATATCCAAATACTGAAACAAAAAAGTAATAAATAACAAAATTTAATAAAATATTTCACACTCTTTAAATAAAATAAATAAATAAAAACAAAATGAAATCTAGCCTAAAGTTAGAAAGGCTGCCTGATTTTAATCAGGAAAGATCTGATCAAAGAATACACAAACAAGCCAAGAAACTGTCCAAGTGTTCAAAATCCAAGTTCAATACTTGACAGTTTTCGATACTCAGTACTACGGACTCACTAGCTTAAAGCAAGCCTATGTTACTGTGGCCACAATGATAATTATAGAATAAGAGTAAATGTTACATTACAGTGTAATGCTAGCACAAGAAGAGAATAGTCATAAAGTCAGCAAACTGACTCAGTGATGTCCGTTATACAGCAATATCTGTCTTTAGTTTGTTAACATAATCTGCTAACATATTAACCTTCATAAGCTGAAATAAATAATACTGTACTGTGATACTATGGATAACTATCTCTTTATGAAAATCACAACAACAGTCACAACAACAGTTATCTCACAGCGCTTTTCATAAAAGAGCAGGTCTAGACCGTACTCTATGATGTTATTTACAGAAGCCCAACAATTCCCACCAAGAGCAAGCACTAGGCGACAGAGGTAACGAAAAACTTCCTTTTAAGAGGCAGAAACCTCGAGCAGAACCATGGCTCAGGGTGGGCGGCCATCTGCCTCGACCGGTTGGGGGTGAAGGAGAGAGAGAGAGAGAGGGGAGAGGGGGTGGAAGAAGAGAGAGGGGGATGGAAGAAGAGAGAGAGGGAGGGAGAGCAGCCTACATAATATACACACAGAGGTACAGACAGTAAAGGTGATGTTGCTATAGACTAAATGAAAAATGGTATAGATATGTATAGTAGTGTTAATGATAATAATCGTAATGTTAATGATTATAATAACAATAATAACAATAGGACTAGTAACAATAATTGTTGTAGCAGAGGGTGTCGAGCAGGAACACGGGAGCAGCAGGTGACCCGCAGCCACAGATCCAGACTCCTCAGCTCCAGAGCCAGAAACACCTGCAGGAAGTGATAGGAGGAGAGAGGAGAGGGACAAGAAAGCACAAGACTACCGGAAAGGGGAGAAGTTGTGTTAGTAACATGCAATAATGGGATGAGGTTGCATACAGAGGGAGAGAAAGTAGAGGAGAGAGGAGCTCAGTGCATCATAGGAAATCCCCTGGCAGTCTAGGCCTATAGCAGCATAACTAAGGGATGGTTCAGGACTCACCTGAGCCAGCCCTAACTATAAGCTTTATCAAAGAGGAAAGTCTGAAGCCTACTCTTAAATGTGGAGATGGTGTCTGCCTCCTGATCCCAAACTGGAACCTGGTTCCACAGGAGAGGAGCTTGATAGCTGAACACTCTGGCTCCTAGTCTACTTTTGGAGACTCTAGGAACCACAAGAAACCCTGCATTCTGGGAGCGCAGTGCTCTGGTGGGGTAGTAAGGTACTATGAGCTCTTTAAGATAAGATGGTGCCTGACCATTAAGAGCTTTGTAGGTAAGAAGATTATAAATTCTATTTTTTTATTTATTTATTATTATCTATTTACTGGAGCCAATGCAGAGAAGCTAAGACAGGAGAAATGTGATCTCTTTTCCCTGGTTCCTGTCAGAACACGTGCTGCAGCATTCTGGATTAGCTGAAGAGTCTTAATGGACTTTTTCGAGCAGCCTGATAATAAAGAATTGCAGTAATCCAGCCTAGAAGTAACAAATGCATGGACTAGTTTTTCTGCATCATTTTTAGACAGAATATTCCTGATTTTCGCAATATTACGTAGGTGAAAAAAGGCAGTCCTTGAAATTTGCTTAATGTGAGACTTAAACGACATGTCCTGATCAAAGATAACTCCAAGATTCCTCACAGTCGTGCTGGAGGCCAGGGCGATGCCATCAAGGGAAACTATATCTTTAGATAATGTGTCACGGAGGTGCTTAGGCCCCAGAACAAAAACTTCAGTTTTATCTGAGTTTAACATTAGAAAATTACAGGTCACCAGGTTTTAACATCCTGAAGGCACATTTGAAGTTTAGCTAACTGATGAGTTTCATCTGGCTTGATCGATAGATATAACTGAGTATCATCTGCATAACAATAAAAGTTTATGGAATATTTCCTGATAATATTGCCTAAGGGAAGCATATATAAATTGAAGAGGTTTGATCCGAGGACAGATCCTTGAGGAACTCCATGACTAACTTTGGTGTGCATGGAGGACTCATCGTTAACATGTACAAACGAAATCGATTTGATAAATAGGACTTAAACCAGCTTAGAGTGGTTCCTTTAATGCCAATGAAATGTTCCAGTCTCTGTAATAGGATCTGATGGTCAATGGTATCAAATGCAGCACTAAGATCTAATAAAACCAGTACAGAGACAAGTCCTTTGTCTGATGCAATAAGGAGGTCGTTAGTAATTTTCACCAGTGCTGTCTCTGTGCTATGATGAACTCTAAATCCTGACTGAAAATCCTCAAATAAACTATTGCTCTGTAGAAAGTCACACAGCTGTTTAGCAACTGCTTTCTCCGTGATCTTAGAGAGAAATGGAAGATTAGATATAGGTCTATAGTTGGCTAAAACATCCGGATCAAGTTTGGGCTTTTTCAGAAGAGGTTTAATTACAGCTACTTTAAAGTACTGTGGTACATAGCCTGTTGATAGAGATAGATTGATCATATCTAGTACAGAAGTGCTAACTAAGGGTAAAACTTCTTTAAGCAGCCTAGTCGGGATGGGGTCCAAGAGGCAGGTTGATGGTTTAGATGAAGAAATTACTGAAGTTAGTTGGTAAAGATTGAGGGAAGCAAAACAGTCTAAACATATATCTGGTTCTACAGCTGTTTCTAAGGTTCCTGAGTTTAGAGATATGTCGGTGCCAGTTAAGGGCAGGTCTTGGTGAATTTTGTTTCTAATAGTTAGAATTTTATCATTAAAGACGCTCATGAAGTCGTAACTACTGAGAGCTAAGGGAATACTTGGCTCAATAGAGCTGTGACTCTCTGTCAGCCTGGCTACAGTGCTGAACAGAAACCTGGGGTTGTTCCTATTTTCCTCTATTAATGACGAGTAGTACGCTGCTCTGGCATTACGGAGGACGTTCCTATAAGTTTTAAGACTATCTTGCCAAATTAAACGAGAATTTTCCAGTTTGGAAACGCCAATTCCTCCAGTTTCCACGATATTTGCTTTAATTGGCAAGTTTCAGTATTATACCATGGAGCTAACCGTCTTTGTTTTATTATTTTCTTTTTTAGAGGGGCTACAGAGTTGAGTGTCATTTGCAGCGAACCTGCACCACTATCAACAAGATGATTGATTTGGGAGGGACTGAAATTAGCATAGGAGTCCTCCATTACTTTGTGACTTGATAATGAATTTAGAGCTGATGGAATCGCATCCTTAAATTTAGCTACAGCACTATCAGACAGACGTCTTGTACAAAAATCTTTGCCCAATGGCGTGTAGTTCAGCAATACAAACTCAAAAGTTATCAAACAGTGGTCAGATAAAGAGGGATTCTGTGGGAAAACTATTAAATGTTCAATTTCAATACCGTAAACCAAAACAAGGTCGAGGGTGTGGTTAAAAGTACTGAAGCTGTCATTCTCAACATCCACATGAATATTAAAATCCCCTACAATAATAACTGTCCGTTTTAAGGACTAAAATTGACAAAAACTCTGCAAATTCAGATAAGAATTCAGAGTATGGACCAGGTGCTCGGTACACTATAACAAAAAGAATCGGTTGCAGTGATTTCCAACTTGGGTGTGAAAGACTAAGAACAAGGCTTTCAAATGAGTTATAGTTTAGTTTAGATTTAGAGCTGATTAGTAGGCTAGAGTCGTAGATAGCTGCAACTCCACCTCCTCGGCCTGTGCCTCGAGGAATGTGAGTATTAATATGACTGGGAGGGGTGGATTCATTTAGGCTAACATATTCTCCATCACCCAACCAGGTTTCAGTAAGACGAAATAAATCAATATCATTATCTGATATTAGTTCATTTACTAGTACACCTTTAGAAGAGAGAGATCTGATGTTTAAGAGTCCACATTTAATTTTCCTATTAGTTTGCACTATTGCACTTGTGGTTTTAATTTTTATGAGGTTTTTATGCACAGCTCCTCTTCTGTTTACCTTTGATTTAAATAACTTCAATGGTCGGGGGCAGACACCGTCACTATAGGATTTTCACTAAGTAACTCCTGTAATGGAGGAGCAGAGAAGTGTGACTTAGACTGCTGACTCTGCGACTCTGCCTCCTGGTCTCAACTCTGGGTTGTCATGGATTTGGTCCGCTAATAAACTTGGCCAGATTTCTAGAAATGAGAGCTGCTCCTTCCCCAGTGGGATGGATGCCGTCTCTCCGAATCAGACCAGGTCTTCCCCAGAAAGTCTGCCAATGATCTACAAAGCCCACATCGTTTGCTGTGGACACCACCTCGACAACCAGCGGCGGAATGACGACATGCGGCTATACATGTCATCATTGGTAAGATTTGGCAGGGGTCCAGAGAAAACTACGGTGTCCGACATTGTTTTTGCATATGTACACACCGACTCAACATTAATCTTAGTGACCTCCGATTGGCGTAACCGGGAGTCATTACCGCCGACGTGAATAACAATCTTACTGTATTTACGTTTATCCTTAGCCAGCAGTTTCAAGTAAGACCCAATGTCGCCCGCTCTGGCCCCAGGGATGCACTTAATTATGGCCGTTGGCTTCGCTAACTTCATGTTTCTCAAAATGGAGCTGCCAATGATCAGAGTTGGTTTCTCAGCAGGTGTGTCGCTGAGTGGGGAAAATCTGTTAGAAACGTGAACAGGTTGATGGTGCCCCGTGGGCTTTGAATGCTTACGACTATTCCTCCTTCGGACTTCCTGGCTGCACAGGAGATGCCGGGGGACAGCTACCACAGGCTAACTCAGATCTTCCAAGGTGCGGAGCCAGACTTCTAAATCACTGAGCCTCGCCTCCATGTCTAAAAATAAACTACACTTATTACACGTACCATTACCGCTAAAGGAGGCAGAGGAGTAACTGAACATACTGACAACTGACACACCGAGCAGGAGAAGCCATCGCTAGCTGCTGAGCTAAAGTTGCTAACAGCTAAGCTAAAGTACTGTAGCGTTAGCTACAACTTTTGAACAACTATGAGATTGAACAGCAGTCACCAAAAGATGGAAAGAACTGTGAGTGCTTAGGCAAAATTACTGTAAGAGTAAGTGTTTAGCGGACAGTTGGCTGCTGTAATCTAACAAATGTAACTGGAATTTAGCGAGAGCAGCACAACACGCTACCAACACACAAGCACCGGAAACGGAAAATAGAACTATCAACTACAGAATCCTCAATTCTGGTTGTAAAGCAAGTCACCTGGAAACATTAAAAGGTTTTAGCGTCAGCATTAGCTTATGCTAGCTAGCAATGCCTGTTTGAAATTTGAAACAGTGTCTTTTTAACTGACAAAATCCACAAGCTAGAAATGAGAGCTGCTGTTTACTCCTGTGTGAAATTGAGGACCCATTTTTGTGGGTGGTCAATCTGCCACTGTTATGATTGCATCCTGAATGGTGAAAACGCAAAGTGTTAAAGAGGCGGTATTATGCTTTTTGGCTTTTTCCCTCTTCTTTATTAAGTTATATACCTTTTTTGTGCATGTAATAGGTTTGCAAAGTGAAAAAGCCCATCCAGGCCAAAGGGAGTTCCCATCTCCCACAGAAAACTCTGCTCTGAACTGCTTGAAAACAGCTTGTTTGTAGTCCAGCTGTTTCCCTTTCATCCCTGTGATGTCACAGGGATGAAAGCTAAATGCCCGTCATAACACTTGCCAAGGCTACTCCCACATGGCCTCAAAACACCGGTGGAAAAACACTGAGCTGCAGCACACACCTCTCCTCTCCATTCCAAACATTAGCTACGCTCCAGGCAGTCAATGTGATGTAGCAATTACTGTGATGTAGAGACAGAGCTCAGGTAAAACTTTATGGATGAAAGATAATTTTGTTACAGCTTAATAACTCACCACTCCGAAACTCTTGCTCCAGTCCATGTTGCCAGGCTGGTCAGCAACATGTACAACTGAACCGAAGCCGGCTTCTCACTGACCTGGCCTTCTCTGCTTCTGATTGGCTAGTAGTCCTTAACTAGGAACTGCGCATGTGCTACTCCCAACAAAGATCATTTAGAGAAAAGATGTATCACTCCGTAGCTAAAGCGAAGTGTTCAACACAGGGTGAAAGGAGGAGCTGCAGCAATGTGCAGACAAAAACTATGGTGTTTTTTGAAAATTAAACCATGTAAACCTGTTCTGGTACAACCCCAAAATAGGATTTTTAACCTGAAAATGAGCATAATACCACCTCTTTAACAGGTAACAGTCGCAGTAACTAAGGAGGGAGAGGGTCAGGAAATGGTCAATTGAGAGAAACATGGTGAATTCTATCTCTAATGAATTAAACATTTCTTTTGCTGGGGAAAGAATGTGTTTTTTCTTCTTTTTTTAGAAGTTAGTCTCAATGTGAAATCACTTCCAAATGTTTTGAGGAAATGGCTTTTACAGAGTGGCTGTGAATTGTGACTAAAATAACAAGTGCCAGTTCCATCATACACCATTAAAACACTTATCTCAATAAATGGAGCAAGACCTGTAGACATATCCTGTCACGTGGATTAACACTGCAACACTGTGTGACTCTTAATTAAGATTTGCCTCAGATAGCAGCTAATGCTGAGCTAGCTTACTTGGAGCACACACACTGTTTATTATCATGTTCTCCCCCCCACACCCACCTCACAGCCTCACCTACTTTCCATCTTTATTCCCTCTGGGAGAGACAGCTGCTGCTAAAAATATCCTGACTTAATAGATGCAGGTTATTTTATGCCAAGGCGAGCTTCTATTTCTTAACAAAGCCAAGTCAGTGATTTATCTTTTTTTCTATTCCCAGCTGGAGACCCAGAGCAGTGGTTTAATTTGAATCTAAGTTGTTCCCTGTGGAACTGATATCTGTTTGATGGTAGACAGAATAAAGACACACTGAGAAAAAGAGTGAAAAGAGAGGGAATGAGGGCTTTTTGGTTGAGAAGGCCATGGAGCAAGAGGAGAAAGATGAGGAGAAAGGAGAGAACCGGCAGGAACTGACCCTAACCAGCTTTAACAGGCACAAAGAACCAGTCTGTAATTGACAGGAACAGTTTTCTCAAACGTGAGCCAATCACACAGATTATGTGTCTGTGAGTGTGACAGTAAGAACAAGAGAGGAAGAAAAAGAGAGACGGACAAACAGATGGAGCGAAAAGGATATTTAGGGTTTTTTTTGGAAAGACGAAATATATATATGTGTATGTCCAAAAATATATTCTATTACTTCACTTTTTATGGAATGACAAAGTTGAGATAAGTAAACAGAAACATTTGTAGAATATAAAGCAGGATTGTGTTGCGAGAAAGGGAAAACAAATAAAATAAATAAATAAAGCTTGTGGTCAGCAATTTTCTGACAAGTTCATTAGAGGGGGCAAATAGAGCAATTCCCCTGAAATACACACACTGGTCTGGACTGTGAGAGTTTGTGAGAATGAATTACTTTTTAAGCCAGAACTATAGATTTAAATCCTTTAGGAATGGCTCTAAAAATACCATCAGTGCAGACACAGAAAGCAAAACATATGTTTGAGGAAGAGATTCAAGTTGATAATATAAATAATTTAAAAATGCTGTTGAGGAATTCTTAATTTTTTCGAGAGATCTGTCACAGTGATGACAAAAATCATCTGCGTAGAAGTTTCCTTTAATTTTGTCTTTTTGCATGTCTGTCTTCCTTCGTCTTAGCTGCCGCTGGATTTCCAGGAACGTATCAGTTCCCACATGGAGAAACATAATCGGGGTAGCGGAGCCACCATGGCAATGTGCCACTCCAATTACTCCGACGCCGTGCCCACAGCCATAATTGGCAAGGTCCTGGAAAAGCCAGAACCAGGAAACAGTTGCCCTGTAACACGCTCCCCCAGTCCCCAGCCACAGGATGTAGACTTTCTTACAGGAACAGGAAGCACTGATCACCTGAACCGCCGCATTGCGTATAAGACCTCCGACCTGTACTGCAGCGATACGGCCCTCTATTGCCCTGAACGATGGCAAGATACAGAGCGCAGGCAGAGCGTCGACCTCCACGGCACCAGCCTGCTCCAGCTTCATGCCCAGAACTCCACTGACAGCAACCCCGATGAAGATGCCTACCACTCTGCAAGTTTCTCCCATCATGAGCCTCCATCCTCCTTCCACCACCACGATGAGTTTGGCGCCGGTAGCCTCCCTGCCTCCAGTTCCTACTCTAGCTTCAGCCTTGCATCGGACGAGAAGGGAGGAGTTAGTGGTAGTTGTGCGCGCACTGCCAGCAGCACCCTATCCTCTTCCCACCAGGGTCTCTATATGGACTGGCGAGATAGTGGCAGTGGGGACTATGGGCGCAAAAGCATGTCGTCTTATGAAAAAGACAGCCCAAGCTTCCCCAAGTCCCTCAGCATCCAGCATATGGTGGCCCCCAGGAGCCCTCAAAAGGGCACCTCACCAGCATACACAAGGACGGCTTCGTGCTTTAGTGAACCATACCATTCCAGCACCCCCCGTCTAGCCTCCTCTCACAGCATGGGGTCCACAACTGGACTGGGCCAGGCTCGTGGGGGAGCTCAGGACAGCCGAGGTGACATCCAGATCCCGGATGATGACCTAAGCAGCCGCTGGAGACAGCTCAGCGTGGAAGATATCAACACGTTCTCATCTTCCTACCAGAACATCACAGGACGGGTCTCTCCGTACAGTTTCTCTGAGCGCCACTTTGCCATGGGCCCCTCCAGTAAGGTCAAGGGGTCTCTCTACAGCAGCTTCCAAGAAGGAGATGACGTCTTCCACAGCCGCGTGCTGGACCAGTGTTTTGCAGCGGGTCCTCCTTCACCCAGCCGCAGTTCGAAACCTATGGAGCATCGTAAGCAGGAGAAAACGCCTGTGCTGTATAGAGCCAAGGATGACAGTCAGGACTCCGAGTGCAGTCTGTTCCTCTCAGGGAGCTCGAAAGAGAAAGAGAGCGGTGGGGGAGCAACGGCAGCAAGCAGTGCCAAGAAAGACTACGCAAATCTGAGTGCAGACAGCTCGGGCGAGTCCTTACACCAAAGCTCCCTCGAAGCCTCAAGTCTTCAACACTACCCCAGCCCCCGACCTGCGTCCGGCCTCGCCCAAGCTCCAGTTCCGCTGTCAGTGTCGGCCCCGCACTCCCAAAGAAGACCTCTCCAAGATACCAAAAATTTGGCAGTACGGGACTGACGAGGAAGGACAGTTTGACCAAAGCACAGCTCTACGGTACCCTGCTGAATTGAGCGGAGAAATTCATTTTATGCATGATGATGATGATAATGATGATTCCTAACTTACGGTACTGTATGTCTCAAAAACTCCCTGCAACACATACTCGGTTTGATGGGGTATTAAGATGTTGTTGTTTTATGTATCTCTTAGCCAAGGCACGTTTCATGCAGTCTGCAACACTTTTTTATATTGTATGTCATGCAATGGTGTAGCTACCTGAGACCAGCTATTCAGTATGTTTTCGTTTCAGTGATGATAATTAGAGCCACCGGGATAAAACCACGTTTGTCTAAGAAATACAAACATAGACCCGGTTCCATGAACGTACTGTGCTATTTGCTCCTTTTTTTGGTGTTAAGTACTGTTAGTAAAACCAGCAAAAGACCATTGATTTCTGCTCTAATATATACAGTAAGGATAATGGACTAAAGCGTGTTTAATGGGGTGACTTAATTACCAATGTTTGAGAGGGGGAAGTTTATCCATTATGTATAGTGGACCCTGCTGACGGCAAGCAGTAAAAGCTGTGTTCATTCGCTATTTTCACTTAATCAGAATGCATGCTGTATAATGCATATAAATAAGATGGAAATGCACATTCATTTCCAGCTAAATTGTTTCACATAGGGACATTATCTGTAATTGGCTAAAAAAAGAGCTATTTAAAAAAATGGCTTTTATTCAAATGCTATGTTCTATTTATAGCAAGACACAAAATTCAGACTGCAAGAGTTACTTCTTGATACTAGATTTCACACTTGTTAATCTGAAATTTTAAAACCCTTATTTTGTTTGTTGGAATAATATATATATATATATATATATATATATATATATATATATATATATATATATATATCACAATACCTTACCAGGTGAAATGTACAACAAAAATATGTACACATTCAGTAGAAATGATTAAACACTACTCTAAGGTTTTTAGTGATACTGGAATTTGTCTTATTTTTGTATCAAAATGAGACGATGAAATCTAAGGTTGTACTGAACAGTAGTTACCCTCATACCAGGAAACTTGTGAACTTGCCTTAATCCTGTTCAGTGGACAGAATGGTCTCCTTTACAGCATCTAACAACTGTGTACATACTGTATATCTGCTGTATTGTTACTGTATGTATACACTACTGTTACAGCGTATGTTCTTCCTGTCAGACATAACTCACATGCCCAGTTTTTTTGGAAAAGGATTAAGTCTTACACTGGGAAACCACAAGGCTTAATCCCTGTCTGTAAATCTGGCACATGCAGCCAAATTTCTACCCTGATATGAACTCTTAAACACTGAACTAGTTGCACAAACCAAAAATAAAAAGTGCCGGATCATCTCATTTTCAGGAGATTAATTGGAAAATTCTCCCGGCAAGCTGGCTCTTCTGCAATGTATGTGTACTGAGAAGGTAGTTAGAAACAACTGATTAAAGACAAAAATGTACAGTGTGTTGTTTTTTAAACCAGCATGTTCAATTAGGCTATTTTAGAGAAAACACTGTGAAGCTAGACAAAGCGTGTATGTGTGTGTATATATATATATATAATATATATATATACATACACAAACACACACACACAACACATAGAAAGTGGCAAAGGCATGCTGTTCTGTTGGTGAATAAAACAAATTATAATTAGATCCTGCCTTATGTTAAATAAAGAGTTGCAGAGAAGTTGGCCTGCTGCCCCACAATCATGCTGCCATCTGCTACTGTTACTAGTATAGATGGAGACAAAGCGACACTGCTCCAACATCTGTGCGCCATTTGAGTCAACAGATCTTGAAGGATTTCTTCCTGCATGGGTGGCTCTATAGATCTGAGAGGAATGGTGACAGAGATAAGCTAAATAATGGGTACTCAGTTTTGCCCTCGAGTAGTCACAAATGGATTTTTCTGGAAGATCTGGGAACTAGTTTAATGCAGTTTTTAAATATTTTAAAACTCCATCTCTTCTTTTTGACCTTGTCATGTTTATGAAGGTGAAATTGCACTACACAGGCCAAAAGTCTTCAAGCATATTCTTATTTGGTACAATGTATGAGTATGTAAAAGGTGGAAAGGGTTTGGAGTTAAATGTAACCAATGTACAGAGGGACTGAGAGGATATATGGTATCTTTGTTGTGGACACAATGTCTAAAAAGAGATAAAGATACTACAAATACAATTGTTATTAAACTATGACTATTTTTAATCCAGGTTCAGTAGATGTTAGCCTATATTTATCGAATGTTTTGACCCTGAATGAAGAGGCTTAAGCTGTCCTGTCCTACCTCCAGCCTTGTTCCAGGAACAACAGGCCAGCTGTCTAAATGTCAACATGTGTGTCTGTCTGATGCATGGTTATATATTTTTACTGTATGTTTATTTACTTAATAAAGATGGGTGTTGGGAAGTATATCCTGGTTATTTTACATTACTTATTTCAAGAACCGTAAACCCTTAAGATCCTGGAAATGTTTTGATTTGGAGGTTCACAGTGGGGGACAGAAATTTTCTTTCAAAAAGTCCTCAGCAAAGTTTATCATAGGCAGTGAGCTCTTCTCTGATCCCTTGGCTATGAATTAAACTCCAATTCCAATTGGGACTAGAGTTTTAAAAATTCCGTCACGACTTCCTCATCTGATTGGGACTGACTCCTCTGTATTAGTTATACATTATTCATACTCTCTTATGCTTTATTTATCTCATCCTTCAGTTGTTTTTTGTTGTCCTGTCAAATTTCGAAGACGTCGCCATCCACCTCCTCCTCGTTGCAGAGGTTAGCTGGGGAAATGTTAGCGTTTAGAGTTTTGTTGCCACTTGTAGACGTTAGGGGTGGGGGGAAACACAGATACAGTATAATATCGCGATATTTTCCGTGGTAATATTGTATCGATAAACGGACGTCAAGAAAAGATCTTTTATTATACAAATTGTACATAATAATTTTACCTTTTGGTACTATAATAATAAAACCAATTGCTTTTTCAGTCCAGGAGAAAAAGAGTTTTCCTTTGGGGGCACAATTTGAAGTTGGAAAAAGATAATAAATGTTTAAAATCACAATAATATCATATCATGACTTAAGGTTCGTGATAATATCGTATCGTGAGGCCTCTGGTGATTCCCACCCCTAGTAGATGTGTAGGTGGAAGTTGTGATATCCTAGAAATATCTTAAGTGATTTTTGGCATGAATTTTCCCTAGAGATTCTTAAACACCCAATGTGACACTTGCCATATCATCATGCAGTCTCTAATGGAGGGGATTTGACCACATCTATAGACATCTATATTCAGCTCGTGCTCAACTGACAATTTTAACAGGTCAAGGGTGAGCGGGAGTAAGTCGACTCGCGCCATCTTGGCTGTTTTAATGAGTACATATGGGAGAACTTGCTAGGAGAAATTACATAATCATTGGGATTTCAATCTAAAAAGGGTGGAACTACCGGTAAGTGGAGTTTGCAATTTTGTGCACATTGCATGGTGTATATTACAAGTTGAAGTGAGCATGCACAATTGTGTGTATTTGCGTGTACTTGTACTTAGCGGCCAGCTAATGACAGGTGTGCTGCTAAGGTATAATGTATTTACATTTACATACAGTTTGTATAAACTATTTGTGTGACTATCTGCTTTGTGCAAGGCAGAAAATGTATTCAATGTTTACATTGCACAGATACTGTACATATAGTTACCTGCGTCTAAATCGCCAACAGGTTAGTAAACGCCAGTAAATAGTCGGCACCATCAAGTGGGATGAACTAAATTGGTGAACAGCCAACGTTAACGCTACTTGAAAGTACAATTAAACATTGTCTAAAACAGTGGAAAGCCCTTTTACCGCATGTACCACACAGAAAAATGTGCATGTTGACAGCCGCCAGCTAATGACACAGTTGTGCGGCTAGGAAAAAAGTATGAGCAGGTTTTGAAGGGCTCCTTGTTTCTGTTTATCTTAGTTACTTTCTTTTGTGTTCTCAGTCAGTGCTATGGAGCAAAATTGTGGCCCTAGTAGATTTCTGTATCTCAATATGAACTGTCACTATATGTGAGTGAAGGGGCAGGGGCTGCTGTGCTCTGCACTCTGTTCAAAGTTTGTTGTTCTACAGATAAGTAACCAATATTTAAAGATGTCTTTCCTGAAAAGGTCATCCAATATCGCCCCCTGGTTTGCTGTTGCTGGTCTTGAACTTTATTCTTTGGTCTTTTTCACCTTTTTGAGGCCTTAGTGTTTAATCTTCCTTAATTTGTTTTGACGTTAATGATCCTCTGTATCTGACTTGCACAGAAGGGCTACAACCAACAGCAGAAGCTTTCGTTATTTAGCACATGCAAATCATCATTTGGCTTCACAAATTACTTAGTGGTCTTAAGACAATAATAATGTTAATTTAACTATTATTAACTACAGTTTTAACCACCGCGGGGGCTATAAAAAGTATTAAGCCATAAGAATTTTCCTCTGGGCAAAAAAGCAAAGTGTATTGATACTGTATAAAGATCACAAGCATCTGTGTGCACGTCAGCACTCTGCTGTTGACTGGCAGGATTTTGGAAGAACCTGGCAATGTTTTGACAGATATCTGCGTATTTTTTTAGTTCTCCGGTTGTCTCTCTGTGATGCGCTAAGCTGTCAGTGTGAAAGAAAATGTCATATCAGAGCCTGTGAGAACAAAAAGGCATAGAGGAAAGCGATGTGTATGCAGAATGTAGGAATGAAAAACACCACTGATGAGAAAATGCCCACAGAGAATATTTTCTTTTTGTTTTGACAAAAACTTCAAGAACATGATGTTTTAGTGTGACTATAAAAGCATTAAGGTTGTGTGTGTGTGTGTGTGTGTGTGTGTGTGTATATATATATATATATATACACTGTAGTGCACAATAGTTAACTCTTTGAACCGTAAAGAAACTTTCTTTGATTTCATGTGCTATAACTTGACCAACCTGATTTCAGGATGTGAAAACAGTGTGAGATAGGATAAATATAAATAACATGCTTACAGTAGGATTTTCACAATAGTGACTATTGTTGTTGTGCTACACTAAGGGGGATCAATGGGAGTAGAAATGTGGGTGGTTTTCAAAATAATGTGAAAGCATCACAAGATACACAGTGTAAAAAACAGTTTTTCAGTAGATTTGCTGACTTCCAGCATGTTTTGCCAAGTTTTCATGATCTTATACCAAGAGCTTATGGGAGATACAGTCTTTAAGATGGATGGGCATGAGTTTTCAGTTAAATACTGTCTTCCATCTCATGCTCTTGGTCAACACGCTACATCTTATAACTTCCATAAAGTCCATATTCTTGTCCATTCAGAGTTTTCAGTGCCAGACCTTGATCTCGCCAGCCCAGTCGCAGGTGGCCGCAGTCGCAGGAAGGACGGGATGCTGAGACACACAAAGGCAGGGCTGGCTGTGGGCGGGCAGGATGTGCAGTGTGCGAGCATTGTGGTAATCGTAGAAGTGGGCAGAGCCTGTGGAGCTTCCTGAAGCCAGGATGCTTCCATCCAGAGAAAATTCACACTGCACCGCATACCCCTCCACCTACAAGAATATACGTGTTACTTAGTTACGATGCATTAACTATCCACCAATTAGCCATTTTAACATTGGTACAATAAAGTGTCAGTACAGTAAGTGTTACAACAAGGGTGCATGTGATCAGGAAGCATTGCTGATTACACCAGTCGGAGAAACAGAATAAATCTGTGAGGGGTAAGTGAAAGAACAGTACACTGCATTATTATTACTAACAGGGTGCCCTTGAGCAAGGCAGTGGCTGCATTGAGCACCTTCCACTTGTCGGTGTGTGCAAGTATGGGACTGTGGATCTGGGTACATTCATGTTCAGTGAATCTACCTTGGTTTACAGGTGGGCTATATGACAATATTTATTTTATTTTATTTAAATTATTTTTTTTATTACCGTTTATAGAGAGAGAGCTAGACGTTCTCATCTCTGGCTGTATTAGAGATGTTTAATTCACTGGTTAAAGAGACATTCTGATATGGTTATTTTATCTAGAAACTGTTTCTCAACTGAATTTCCAGGAATACATACAGACAGACAGCGCAATATATAATTATATAGGTGTAATAAAATTTTTTTTAAAAATCAACAAATTAAATCCTCAGCAGTCCACTGTTAATGTAGGATGACATAAAATGACACAGACCACTGAGATTAAAGGTTAGTTTGGATTTTTACAAATCTATATTATTACAGCAAGCCCATATGTAGTGTTGTTCTGTACGTGTGTAAAAAGAGCATTTCATTCTAAAAAGCCTGGAAGATAACCACTTTTATTTGTCTAACTAATGTTGAGGCCTCATATTAGCTTCAGCTGGGGTTAAGAATGCGTTTTGGTACAGAATAAGGACTGCGGATTTGCTAGCATTACATTACAAACTCATTTGGAAGGGATTTCTTTAGGACCAGTGTGACCGAGAGGTATCTCTTTCATTTGTGTGCATATGGACACGATTATTAAGTTAGACTTGGCTCTTGTTTGTAGGTATTTTGATGTCATGCTTTCAGGCTGTGATAAAGTATATATTATTACACTAAAAGGTTGTGTGATACGGTGACTGGTTGCTAACACATGTACTACATGTGGTTTAAAATGAAAAAGGTCCACAAATAAAATGTTTACACCTCAAGGCCACCAACAATGGGGGACCATGACAGCCGTATTCTGATCTGTTTGCCTTCCTCAGTGGAAATATTGTGTGTTTGTTTTGGGGGAGGGAGCTGCGGAGGAAACACAAGTCAACAATGTGTTGTGCAGGTTACGATGGGTGTTTGTTTTTAATTCTACCTTTGCAAAGGATTATTGATCAGCCACCACTCCCTACCCCCATGGCCACAGTTGTTGACCACTGACCTTGTGTCCTCCATATTGCCGCCTCTTGTTCATCCTATAGGGCCGCTGGGAGGAGAATACTGCCATGTAGTTCCCATTGGTCTGCGCAACAAAGGACTCCTCAAGTGGATGGAGAGCCAGGCTGGGGCACGTGTACCGCTCCTGGTGGCCAAATGAGCCGAGGGGAAAATCCAGAGGGGAAATGAAGTCATTATTTGACTTTTCTTACTGCTAACTAACCATGAAGTCAGCTGCATGTCAACTAGACCATTATTTGGAAAAAGCCTTATGTTCAGATGTGCAGTGGCTGAATGTAGTGTATTGGCAATATTTTTGTTATACATTCATGCCAATAAAAGCTAATTTGAATTGAGACTGAAGTCATGGAAACGCTTCATAATATAATGCAATCAACCTGCAATGGTCGTTTCTGAGACCACAGTTTATGTTGTTGTAGTGAATTATACGGTGTCCATGTTATTTTGTCGATCCTAGTGTACATATCAAGAGTAGTATGAAAAATTGACGAGACTTCCTGCGCTCTACAATAAATGCTCAATTCAACTGCATTCAGGGCTGGGAATTTATTCAATACCAAAAAGCACTGAGATTATTAAAAACACTGAGATTATTAAAAACACATTTTTAAAATAGGTGGCACTCAGTAGAGCGCACACTTCCTCCAGCACCATGTATCTGTCAAAACATGCCAGTTCCACATGCCTCATTACCCACTTGTTTCACATCAGGACGTTCACATATTTTCAGGAATTAACCTTAAATTGGATTTGCTTGTTAAAATTCAAACTGATTTTAAGCCTTTTAGCTGGTAATTTCATAATCATGTGCCAATTATTACTATATTTACTCAGGGGCTAGCTTTTCCTCATTCACACACACATTTTACTTACATGGTAGATCTGGTTGGAGACCTTGGCTGTGGTCTGGTAGTCCCAGGCGATGAGGGTGCGGTCCGCAGAGTCTCTGCTTACGCAGTCAGAGCTTGTTATAAAGTCCACACCATCTCTCAAAAACAGGATGTCTAAGGTCTGCTGGACCCCTGCTTTGTACACTTTAACTACCTGGAAACACACACAGTCATAGGATGTAATTGTATGACTCTGTGAACAGTCTCTAGTAGACATACCACATTTAGTACATTTAATTTAGTTAGAATTAGTGTTGAAATAATCCATGATGCTTATATAGCATATATATATGCTTTTCTAGTTTCAATACACAGTATTCATGGCCTTCAGTAGACCAATTACAGGAAGGAGGGGAACTTCTGGACTTTTTCCCTTATGGTGGGACAATATGGGACAACTCAGTGTGTCAGCGGTCATGACACATTGTCAGTCACTTGTCTAACCTTGCCAGATGATCACAATGTGTCCAGCACTGTTTCTATAGCATACACAATGCGTTGTAATGTGGATTTGCTGTGTTAAGATAAAGCATTATCCTACAACAACATATTATGCAGTTATTGATATTTAAAGAAATAAAAACATAAAAATTAGATGATCAGGCTAAAATGTTAGTTCAGATAAGACTATTTCAGATTGTAACCTATGGCGACACTTAGAGATCCCGGCGCTAACAGGTTATCATTAGCACCTTAGTGAAACTCAGAGTCATCTACAAATGCAACAATTAATTGACTGACATATAATCAGCAATATTTTTATAACCACTCATTTTCTCAAGAAAAAATGCCAAACATTCTCTGGTTCCAGCTTCTGAAATGCTTTGATTTGTCATATACGCAAGCAAAGATATTATCTTTGGGTTTTGGACTGATGGTCAAATAAAACAAGCAATCACCTTGGGTTGAGGGGATGTTTTTTTACTTGTTTCTGACATATGATACAGGGTAATTGCAAAAATAATTAGAAATTAATGAAATTAATTGATTGTTACAGCCATCAACCAATTTCCTGCCCTCAAACTAGAAGCCATTTAGGTTTGTGCAATCAGGCTGTATCAGAATATAATTAGGACAATCATGAAAAGAAAGTATTGCCATCAGTGACAACCGGTATACAGACATTCAAATCCAAAAAGGTTCACAAAACTGTTTAAATCTTGAAATGGGTTAAGGCTAAATGGCAGAAAATGAGACAGGGTATCTATCGACTGGTCACAGCTGCAATTTAAACTTTACATTTCTCATTCTAATCGAACAACAGTTTTTTGGTATTTGTCTTTTCTAGCTCACTTTTCACAGAGTTTTGGATTGTATTAGGCGACTGAGTGAACGGCTAGCAGCTACATGGGAAAATTTAACCTTAAACCCCTAAATGCAACTTTAACTGCTTGCCTTCTGCTTTGAACCAAACTATAAGTCTTGCTCTTATCAGAGTTTTAACATAACATGGTAGAGCAATCTCATGCATCCAGTTTAACCCTAATGAGTCCATTTGGAAAGACTTCAGACTATTGGGCTACTGTTGTGCCTGTGCGTCTCAGCCATTTTATGAAGTGGGGTAATTTCACCCCCGGAGCAAGAAACACAGTGCTAAGACTGACAGACAGTCAGGACGCTGCAGCATTAACAACCTATTTTGTGAGGACTGGTCCTCACACTGCACCTCACATTGACACCTACTGGCATAAGCAATCCCTGCTGTATTAAATCTAAAACCCTGCAGGGAAACGATTCAGTTAGCTGTGGGGGGAAAAATTAAATTGGGGGAATGTGAGCACTCATGAAGTGAACAGGATTATCATATAAAACAGCCCATTAAACTTAATATCAAGATTAGGTTGCAGCTTCACAGGAACAATTTATGAGCCCCAAAAACAATTTAAATTTGCTTTAAACAACTGAGATTATCTGAAGTATTATTTGCATTACTATGCATGCAATACCATCCTTTTAGTGAAATATAGCATGGGTCATTGTGCGTGGCCACATGTACCTACTAGCTTGTTTGTACTGGTGTGTAACGGTGGGTCTGGAGGAGGGAGCTGTGCATGAGAAGCATGTGTTCAAAGCCTACCTGCCTTAGATTTATAAAAAGGTCAAACAATAGTCTGTGAACCAGAGTCAATAAAAATGATAAATCTACTCTAAGGAGGTTAATAAGTTTGACCTTGCAGCTCCGAGAGTCCCAGGCCTTGACCACTGAACTGTAACCTCCGCACAGGAATACCTCTGGGCTGCTGGGATGCAGGACCACACACATCACCTTGAACTGGTTGTCTAATTTCACCACCTGCTGCCCTACAGATAAGAAGAAATAAGAGAGAGGAGAACAAGATCAACTTCTTTCTGAAATCTTTATATCTTTTGTCGGTAGTGAACTCTGAGATTACACACTGCCAAACTGAAGTATGACGGAATCTTTATAATATATTGTATTTTGTGCTAAAAGCTAAGATTCTCACAACAACAACAAATTGCAGCATCTTACACTCATAAACCGAATGCCTTTGCTTTCAGTCCTGATAAAAGATTTTTCTTTTTCCCATCAATTTTTTCTTTTTCTTAAAATATTTTCAAATAAGCTCCAACAATGAGTAAAGGTATATTTACATCAATTATGAGGGATAGTATCAAGTAGAGCTGCAATGATTAGTTGATTAGAAGATCAAATCACTGTTTTAGTTTTTTTTCCAAGAAAAAATGGCAACAAGATAATTGAAGATGGCAACTTGGATTCTGGGAAATCATTATGGACATATTCACTATTTTCTCTACATTTTACAGACCAAACGATTACTCAATTAAAAGAGAAATCATAACAAAACCCCAAAGATACAATTCACAGGACACAGAACAAAGAAAAAAGAGTTTAGCAAATCAAGGCAACTGCGGAGGACCACTTAGATTTACAACTCAAGAACCACATTATTCATATTACTTTAACAGTAAAGTACATTCTCCATATATATTTTATAAAATAAAAGGACCCATTTATAATGGGCCGTTTGCCATTAATAATGTAAGTAATCTTTTCCAGAGGTAGAGTAGTAGACGATGAAATTTCTCTCATAATCTTCTAAATCCATGAAACAGTACTAAATGATTATTTCTCTCCTGTACACTCCTGCCACTGCTACGCACATGGGTCCGAGCAAACCAACACTCTCTGAATGAGTTTGTAAAGTGTTATTAAGCTTCTTTGATGTACTTCATGTGTTCAAAATACAGTGAGAAACAGAAAACAAAAGAAACAGAATCAGAAACAAAGAGAGCTAGTGCATTCTGTGTGTCTTCTATACATTCAAAAAGGATATAAAAAAAAACACCCAGACCGTTATACTAATGAATTAAGACAAACTGTTGCAGTTTATGCCACATGAAAAGCTTGATTAGACATTTTGTCTTTCTCGGCTGTCAAACACGAAACTAAACACAAAATAAATTTCAACTACAATTCCACTGAGATGCAAGTTCTGCTGAAACCACTCCTTGGTTTATTAATTGAATGCACTGCGAGGATCCAATCCTGCTTGTGACGTGGCCATTAGATTCCTGTGCAGTAAAAACTGTGCGTAATTAAAATTGTGCCGTCGCCTTCGCTTAGAAATGGGGATTGGGAAACAAGCTCGCTGACAAAGATACAGTAAATCTTGCTGTAAGTTTCTGCCAAAGATAGTGTTCCCAACTAGGTGCTCCTTCAGGAATTCATGAAGGAACGATGTTAAAGTAAAAGGATAACAAGCTTCCTGTGATCATTTCAGGTCTGAAGCACAGTGTGATATTGTTTACAGTCTACATCGGTTAGTGTTTGATCAAGTTTCACATACTCTCACATAAGACCACATACAGTTTCTTGTGATGAAATGAAACGTATGTTTTTAATCACTGGATGCCCCAAAACAACTGAACTGTCTGTCTTAATGATGGTGGGTGATGGGACTGACCAGTAATCTGAAAAATCGCACAGTTTTTGCATGCGGGTTGCGAGAGATTGTCTGGGCATATGTCCAGACCTTTTTATATACAGTCTATGGTCCAGACAGCCATCATATGTATCAATCTCTAAAAGGCTACTTGATTTAATCATCACTCAACACAAAAAGATAATCTAAACTGAGAAAGACACTGATGATAGAGAAGAGAAACCAGAATATAAAACACTGTTTTGGCTAGAGGCAGCTTTATCTAAATCAATTAAAAAAAGTCATACTTAAAAACAAAACAAAAACACTGAGGGGCTTAAATATAATTAAGCCTGACAGGGTGCGACCAAAAAAATGTGTTTCCTGGGAAAACCGGTAGAAGGCTACACAGGGAACCAAGCCAGACTACAAGCCAGCAGCTCTGTCAAAGGCTATGCAAAGTAGAATACCTCAGGGTTCAACGGCTCCTCATTAATTCATCGAACAAACAACAAAGACCCCATCCAAAACAGTCTTAGGCAGTAAGCCCACAACAGGAATGCACTTCATTACACTCTTCTAGGATATTCCTACCGAGTCTTTGTAAAAAGGGGGGGGGGGGGGTCACGGCTAATAAACTGCAGCAAAAATGGACCTTCTTTCACTTAATGGTGGACTAGCTCGCTCCCAAATTCAATTGCATTGATGCAAAGTTTTAACAGGCCATTTCGCCGGGGCTCACGCTTCCTGCTTAATTGGCTTACCCGCAGCGATACAGAGAAGATCTGTCATCGAGATTTAAAACTCATGTTTGGCAAGACAACGAGAAAACCAACAATCTCCTTGTAATAAATAGGGGCCTCGTCATGTTTTAATTAAGCAAGATTAATTAGCTTGCTTGAGAGGAGGGAGATAAGGGAAGGCTGCAGTGATCCGTTCCTCCAACGCCATAGTTTACTTTGTAGTCTTGAAAGAAAGTGTGATCATCCTGCGGAGCTGACACGCAGTGGATGACTACGGTGCAGAGGACATTAGGGATGATTGGGATGGCGGGGGATGAGCCCCTTAGAGTAGAGGGGTGCTGGGAGAAAATGGGTACTCTCCCTCATTACCGGATCCACCATAGCAGGGTGCTGTCACAGCAACATAAACAAAGGTGAGACACACATTACTTGGTTTTGACAAGCCATATCCAAAAAACTATCTTGGAAACAGGCTTACTAAGCCATATTTGTAACTAGTTTGATGTTTCACGTTAAGAAAGTGTCCTGAACATTGTAACTGAATTGCAATTTATTAAATTTATCTTAATGAAGTTATTAATGCACGTCCCTCAGTGTGTCCCTGTACAGCTGATGATCCCGACACCAAAGATAACAAAGATTTCCAGCGTCACAGGAAGCGAAAAAAACTACTGAACTCTAGTGTGACAAATATATATAGCCAGCTGTCACATGATGACAACTAAACTGTCTCCATGACAAATAAGCAGCTCCATCTGCTGAGGAAGGCCCTCCCAGATGTGGTTGAAAGCTTTGGAAACACAAAGTGGACCTTGTGTTAAATGGCCAAAGAAAATGTGTGGATGCCCTCTGGGAAGATCATTTACTGCATGCACAAACACTGACTGACCTCCTACGTAAGGTCAAAATCTTGGAGGTGTTTTTGTAATAGCAAATTTACCTTGATTGAATCTGTTTCAGTGATCATGTGCTCAATTAGCACCGTCCAGTTACTAACCCAGCACAAAAAAAAAATACAAAGTCTGCATACTTCTTGTGACAGTTTTCACTTCGTTCCCTATCAAGGGTAGCTGATGACACACATGTTGCAAAGTATACTCACCACTGAAGAAATTCTCACAGTAGCATTTACAGTATATAATATAATTAATCTATCCATCTGTCAAACTTTTTCAAGTCAAGGGATTTAAACTGACCCTTATTTGATAAGCTTTTTGGTCCCCCATCTGATACTTTTGTTTATACTTTTTAAATGTTTTATTACTGAGTGTATGAAACCCATGACCAAAATAGTTATACATTATGTCACTGTGTAAATGTGTGTGGATTTAAAGAATTGTGGTTAATATATTAAGTTTTAAATGTGCCATGCTTTCTTACAAACTACAGTTTCATCAGCATTTTGCTGGGGACCCCTGGATCACCCTCAAGGACCCCTGGGGGTCCCCGGACTCTTGAGAGCCACTGTTTAACCGCACTAAAGTAAGTCATACCAGTCACCAAAGAATGATCTGGGCTTTACTTTCCTTCACAGCAAGGATCTGTTGTTTTTTTCCCCATCACATCACCAGTTGAAATCCGTGTTAACTGGGCAGGTTACCGCTGTAAAATGAAGCTTTCGGTACCTAATGGCAGTCAGGCTACCTCTGACGAGCACATGGAGGGCTGTGCGGCCCCCCAAAGAAATGCCACCCCACACCATTACTGACCCGCCGCTAAACCGGTCATGCTGGAGGATGTTGCAGGCAGCAAAACGTTCTCCACGGCGTCTCCAGACTCTGTCACGTTTGTCACATGTGCTCAGTGTGAACCTGCTTTCATCTGTGAAGAGCACAGGGCGCCAGTGGCGAATTTGCCAGTCTTGGTGTTCTTTGGAAAATGCCAAACGTCCTGCACGGTGTTGGGCTGTAAGCACAACCCCCACCTGTGGATGTCGGGCCCTCATACCACCCTCATGGAGTCTGTTTCTGACCGTTTGAGCAGACACATGCACATTTGTGGTAACGAGTGGTTATTTCAGTCAAAGTTGCTCTTCTATCAGCTTGAATCAGTCGGCCCATTCTCCTCTGACCTCTAGCATCAACGAGGCATTTTCGCCCACAGGACTGCTGCATACTGGATGTTTTTCCCTTTTCACACCATTCTTTGTAAACCCTAGAAATGGTTGTGCGTGAAAATCCCAGTAACTGAGCAGATTTTGAAATACTCAGACCGGCCCGTCTGGCACCAACAACCATGCCGCGCTCAAAATTGCTTAAATCACCTTTCTTTCCCATTCTGACATTCAGTTTGTAGTTCAGGAGATTGTCTTGACCAGGACCACAGCCCTAAATGGATTGAAGCAACTGCCATGTGATTGGTTGATTAGATAATTGCATGAGAAATTGAACAGGTGTTCCTATAATCCTTTAGGTGAGTGTAGGTGCATCTCAAAAAATTTAAGTTGTGGAAAAGTTCATTTTCTCCCCTTAATTTAACTCATAAAGTAAAACTTTCATATATTCTAGATTCATACAAATAACGTAATCCTTTTTTTTTTTTTTCAATCTTGATAATTACAGCTTACAGCTCATGGAAATCAAAAATACTGTATCACAAAATATTCTTGAAGTTTAAAGTAAATAATTTTTAATTCAGAAACGTTGACCTGAAAAGAGGTCTAATTAGCTAATTAACTCATGCCAAGGTTTCCTGAGCCTTTAATCTCTCAGTCTAGTTCAGTGAAATTCAAATTCACTTTTCCACCTTATTCTTTTTTCTTTTTTTTTTGATGCACCTGTATCTGGATATGTTAATTTTTAAAACAAAGAATTTTCTGTGGCATGGCCCCCAGTCTCAAACCCCCCATGTGACTCATTATTTAGCACTTGCACTACTGGCACAGACTCTAAATTGCCCGTAGGTGTGACTATGAGCATTAATGGTTGTCTGTCTCTATGTGTCAGCCCTGTGAAAAATAATGTGAAACTCCATCTTACAACTAAACTGTTGCTCAAGCCTTTAGCTACATTCATCAAATATGATTCTGCAAAGCCAATGTGAGGTGGAAGGGCAACGCACAAGCCCACTCCAGCACTGGCACTCTCTTTGTGTATTTTTTGAAAGCAAGGACAATCTCCCTTCTACCAGTGCCTGAAGGGATCTGGACAGAGAACTCAAGTTCTGCATACACATGCAAGAACTGACGCATCATCCTGTGGCAGCCTGTGGGTACACAGGCATATTTTCCTCTGCCAATCAGCTTTTCCAAGGACGCTGGACAACAGCTGCCACTTCACACTAATGCCCTCCAGATAAAATTCATTTATTCCACTCCCCAACTCCTGCTCTCTCTGTTTCTCCCTCTTCTCTTTTGATGTCTCTTGCGTCCTTTCTCTCCCTTTCTCCTTCTGCATTAGGCCTCTTAACCTGCTCTCCCTCCCCACATCCACCTCTCCCTCTGCTATTGCTATTCAGCTGTGACAGTCTGCCGCTGGCCCACTGGGAGTGGATATAAGATTGTACAAATTAAATTCGACACAGGAACAACTGCAAAGATGGCCAAGGAAAATGGTCCCACACAGCCTTCTTAGTGCCTTGGCTCCTCTATAATTCTTTTTCTCTATAAACAATACCAGCATTCGGTTAGGGTGTGTGGTGGTGAAATATGGGGTCAGGTGTCCTACGAGATTCTCACTGATCATTAAAGGGCCTGCCCACATCTCCAAAAAGAACTGAATTGAAGAGAATGGGCCCAGCTGCCTTCCTTGTTAGAGCTGAGAGGCTCTGCATTACTGTGAAAAGCATAAAGATCACATTCATCCTGATTACAGTCTCACACGGCAAACACTCAGCTCCCTCACTATCCCCATCACTCTTGGTAGATCTAGCGTTAACATTTTGGCTGCATGAATGTTGGGAGCTTCTTTTGTTATTCAAATATCACCGTCATTATTATGCCAACACCTTGGTGTAGCACTGTTATGAGTGTGTGTCGTGTGTCAGAAACATAAATCCTCTGGAAAGATGGGAGCCAAAACCAAGTTTTGACAGTTATGTCAGTCTGTCTTGAAATTATTATGAGGTAAATTATGCAGCTCAGCCTCTGTCCTTTTCAGTGCTTGACTATGATTGGTTTTAATCACAAACAGTCTATAACACATTAAAATTGCACTACAGTTGTGCAGAAACTAGGCTGGAATTCCCAACTCCCATATTAATATGCAACTAAATTAAATTTTCTTCATCTCGTGCTGCCATCTGAATTCATGCTTATTGCTCTGTAGTTCCAGCACACAGCTGCGCGCTCTCATCCTCAGAAACAACCTGGTTCATACAAATAAATAATAATAGTGGTAAGAAAATAAATAAGATTAATAAAAAATATCATCAAAAAACAAACAGAAAACGAGTTACAGGATTGACGTGCAAGGGCTCTTTGGATGTGTGACATTACTTCAAAGCTGTTAGTTTGAATCCACTACGATGTCCTATGGCGCTGAGCAAGGTGTCGGTAGCTACCAAAGTATAAGACCAAAAATAAAATAAATAAATAAATTTGCTAGTTTATGTTGTGTTGTGGTTTGTGACGTTCCCGTGTAAGGTCATGGTGGCTGCTCCTGTGGTGATGTATCCATTATTGATCCCCTTCCTGGAGCTGCCTGTGTGTTTAATGGGCTGGCCATGCTATTATCCGTAGGCTTTATTGGCAGTATTGACAGACATGCTGAGAGGGGAAGTGCAAACGGCAGCAAGTCATCACAGCGATGTGTTGACCCTAGAGATATCGTTGCCACGGGGGCTACAAAACAGTGTCTATTGGCGCAATTCGTTAAACCTCTCTGAGGTCTTTTCCTACATTTATGCACACTGCAACATACTCCATTAGCTGTTGGGGAATTTGACATTATTCTTGGTGACTCTTCTGTTCATTCGGAAATCTGAGTTTTGAACATTTTTAATTTGAGCTGTGTAAAAATTCATGAATTGTTTGAGATGAAGGACATCGAGTGAACTGCTGAACAAGCAGTCGCCCTGTTGTAGATTGTCTGTGTGATGTGTGTGTGAGATACAGAGAGAGAGTGGCGTCCCATTTTAGGAACCATCTCCATTGACGCGGATGTGTAGCCTCTATAGACCTTAATTTAGAGGATCGACCGCCTCCCTAAATGAGGTCTTTATACCAAACAATGCAATGGAGCAATGAAGACGTCACTGCAGGGTGTATATAATGAAAAGAATAATTACAAGTGTATATATTTTATGATTATACAATATACTGAAATTATAACTATCAGAAGAATATTTGGTTCTTCACTTTATGTACACTAATATGATACTGTTGAAGTAAACTGATGAGCTGACGTGGATGAAATGCACAATTTAAAAGTGGCTGGACCCCACTGGATTTTGAGATACTACAGGCGAAAATGCCGACTGTTTAATTTACATTTACACGGGAAACGAAGGCAGCATGTCTTGGCTACACTTGGAGGAGTCTTTCGGATTGAATAGTTGACTGGTTGTGATGTATTTGCTCTACAAATGCGGATTTTGAAGGTTGCCCCTCACGACTTCAGAGAGAGAGAGAAGCAGCTTTGCAATTTATACACAGTTTCAGTTTATAACAGGTTTTTGGGCCCAAGGCAAATTAAAGTCACTCCACACATAAATTATTATACTAAAAATGTGAGTTAGAAAAAGACCCACACTAAATTAGCAATAAGTGAAATTGCCAAGACATTTTGTTTTCCCATAACACCAGCAATATGCTCAGAGAAAAATGTTTGTTCAAAAGGAGCTCAAAAATTTTAATTAAACAAATGTGATGTGGTTTGACTGTCACTTCCTCAGTGTTTTAGCAAAATACAAAAGGTAAAGCATAGTTATTCTGTTTTAGTGTAGCATCAGCATGGTTTGTTCCATGAAATTGTGTTCATCTGACACACAGAAAGAAGTGTCGCCGCTCACCTGTCTCTACATCTGTGCTCACAGCTGTGTTGTCAAATGAGCCAGTGAGAAGGTGTCGCCCGCAGGGGGTCCAACAGGCATCGCGCACAGCTCCCGAATGGCAGCTGTAAACCCTCAGGCATCGCCCGCTTTCTGCTCCATCCCACACCTGCCAGACATGGGCGCATCACATCAAGACAAAGTCACAAATACACTGAGACTGGGGAGACAAAGTAATTTTTAATGCAGGAGCTCAAAATAATCTGGTAGAAAGCTTTTATATGAGTACATGTCTTAACAACATGTTAACGTTATATATCAGTCATTTGTGCTCAGTCTTTTTTAGGTTGCTTTGACTCATCACGTCACTGATACACAAAAGACAAAGATGCTCTATGAAAAACAAAACAAAAAAAGCTTCTGTCTGAGTGCTAAAAGGCTAAAAGTTGACACTGACCCTGCCATCCTTTACACCTCAAACAAACACCGAATGAAACAACAGCATGCTAGAGAGTAGCAGTGAAGAAGAGGAGACATCAGAAGGCACTCATACACTGTGCTTTCCTTCATACAAACAAGAGGGAAGGACCTGCAAGCTTTGGGCGAGGTTTCAAGGCAGTGTACTGAGAATCAAATCGTCCAGGCCTGGTTTGGTGGCCACTGTTCTCCCGACTGAAAAGAGGAAACAAAGGGACATTTTTTTCTGCCATGCCTTAGCAGTTGATGAATGCAACGTGTGCTCCGGCCCTGAAAACATTTCCTCTGTGAATGAGAAGTGCTGAATGTAGTCTGTCTCTTTTTCAAAGCTGAGGAAGATGTAATCTAAGCATTCCTCATCTAAATTTAGTTGTAATGAAATAAAATTAAATTACTCAGCAAAGTGCCACTAGATAAATTGGCATAATATGTACACAAGTCAGGCTTATTTGCTGGATTTGAAGTAAAAACCAAGCTTTATAATTAATAAATCAAACTAATTACCTTTTGAGTGCACCTGGAAATTAATTCCCTGTGGGGTCTAATGGATTTAGTGGTTTTGTATTGTTGACTATAGACAGAGCTGAAGAGAAAAGCACCCTTCTGTTAGTTGTGACTCTACTATCTGGCTGGTTTGAAATGTGATATCATGCTGTGAATAAAGTGCAAAGAGAGGCCTAAATAAGCAGACAGTGATTTATGATTAGGTATTAATCTGCCAGATTGTTCTATTGTTGATTTTGGCTTCATCTTTTGTCATTGTCGCTGTGTTTTTGCACCGGGCTTAAAAACGATCACTTGGCAAACTTGCTTTTCATCAGATGTCCTGTTGATAATGAGTGTGATTTAATGTCAGACATGTCAAAAGACAAAAAGTGTCTCCCTGAAGCCCAGCCTGAAATCCAGTGGGTGGTTCAGTCTCCTGCCCACTGAGGTGAGGCATTTTACACTAATGATGAAGTATTTTTGCTTCTCCAGCATTGCAAGGGCCACAGAGGAACTTTGAAGATCTGTGGGGCGCTGCAGATCCCTCTCTGCCTCTCTCTGTGTTTCATTATTAAAGATGACTCCTCCATACAGCACAAAAAACACATTGAGAAAGTCTGTACCACAGCTCCCACAGGAGGCAGACGGGGGGAGACTGACATATCTATCCAGCAGGCAGTGGTTTAACAAACAGAATGCCAGAGATGCCTCCAGGGTGAGAAAAAAAGTAACAGAGAGGGAGACAGAGGCTCCCACTTTTAATTGCGAAAAGCTAAATATTGGAGTGAAGAATCTATTAACTAACTATTCTGTGTGATCTTAGGCTTAGGGAAACACTGCCATCTCAAGGTAACATGAACATCTGTTCAACAGCATCCGATGATAGCATCTATAGTCACAAAAGCTTCAAAACATTCAACTAAATGCAGACTTCTACATAACAAATCTGACAAAGTGGCATGTTGTTTAAGGCATGTCTCCGATGACTGACAGAGTTAATGATATTCACCACAACAACACCATTCAGTGCTCACACAACTGCAATAATCCCCTACAATGTGCGCCCTGGGCACGGTTGAAAATGAGCGCTTGTTTATTTACGTCCCCTTTAATTTCACCGGCCACTTAACAGACACGCAAAGCGGATCCATGCAGATGAGTAATCTGCTTCCTAAATGACTCTCAGTAATTAAAACTAAATTGGTATTCGTGTTATCAAGTTAAAACTGCTGCCTTACACCTGCCGTAGCCATGGTGACAACAGCTGCAAACAGACTGGAATAATAATAGTCTGATGCTGCCTCGGAGGAACTGACAAGACAGGATGGAAGAAGAGGAGGCGGAAGCCTGAAGGGTGAGGGTGAAGAAACACAAGCACAAAGAGCAATGTGTTAAGACTTCACAGAGTCCGTCCCCTCTCACCCTTCACGCAGAGAATAGAAAAGATTGTAGTCGAAGTGCAAGGGAGCTGAAAGACATAATCGATATAACTGTACAGTCAGGAGGAGCAATAATGTATAAAAAACTGTCATAGTTGCCTGTGCAACTATTCTGATAATTGAACAATTACTGTAGTTACTTTTCAAGCTAAGATTCACAATTGTAAGCATTTGCTGCTGAATATCTTTGAGTGTTCCACTATTTATTAGAAAAACAAACAAACAAGCAAGCAATAAGACACTTTGTCTTATAATAAATTGCAATGGGAATGTTTTAAAAAATTATTTTCTGCCATTTAGAAGACCAAACAAAAATTGATAATGAAAACAGAGTTGCAGCCCAGGTTTTATTAATGAGATGATGCCAGTCAAATTATTTTCTGTGACCATGGTATAAAAACATCTAGTTATTACATGATTGGAGATGCCTTTATTGGATACAAAAGTATAGCTAGTTATGTCAGCTGATTGCTGTCTTTTGTGGCTTCCAAACACCTGTGTTGCCAACAGGAGAGTTGCAGAGTGTCCTCTAGTTGACAAACAATGCAACAACAACACTCATAACCTGACTGAATCTGTCTTCTGTCACTTTGTTTCTTTTTTAAATGACATTTATCAGCTGTTATAAACACCGATACCATTTATGCAATTACCTCATATTGGCACGCTGATTTATCGTTCAGGCTAGTCTTTAATGAAAGCCTGAACAGTGAAAGGTAAAGCAGAGATAAAAAAACAAGATGTGCTCTTCTATGGAAAAAAAAAAACTGATCACTTAAAAATATTTATAATTTTGTTGAAATCAACTATAAATATTTTTAAGCCACTGAATTCCTGTATGTTTTAATTTCATTTTAGGACTGAGTAATCATGAGGATTACATCACAATCATGACGAATTGCAGAATAAAACCTTTGTATCGCCTCATAATCAGGCAATTCTGGTCTAAATCATGTCAGATACCAGCTGAAGCAAACATTGCTAATTGTTGGGCTAACTTAAATTACTGTGCAGATGCTGAAGATATCTAAAGCTAGTATGAACATTTAGAGAGAAAAAAAAAGACCTGTTGCTGAGATGAGTAAGATTATTTGATATACTCCTCTTTCTACTGGTTTCACAGTATGAGATAGAGAAGAGAAACTATTATATACAAATGACCAAGTCTTCTCTCTTCTCCCCTCGTCTCCAGCATCTGCTCCAAACTGCCCTTTCCAGGTGCCAAAGAAGGTGGTTGCCATATTGCTGCATTTGCATTGTTATGCAAACGACCTCATGCATATTTAAATTATTGATTATTCAGAGTCCTCTTAGGATATTGGTTGGATACCGTGGCATCCTACTGGGAAATATTTGGTCACTGGCAGACACCTGCATGGCTTGACCTTTACTGTAGGGAGATGAGGGATTGTTTTCCTGGTGTGAAATAAAGAAAAGAAGGGGGAGGGGGAGAATCAGAAAGAGAGAGAGAGAGAGCGAGAGCGATAGGAAGTCCCACGGGTCCTGACATACATTCAACTGACAGATATGATTCTAAAGAAAGTACATTTATAAATTGAGGCAGCAGGGAAGATGTTATCTCCCTGCCTGTCATATAAATGATTATCCCCTTAGACAGCCCCGATGCACTAGGCACCCACCCGAAACTATATATAAAAAACTATACCGTTATAAAGAAAAACTCTACCACACCACCACTTGGAGCATATGGAGCAGTAACAAAAGAATGCCAACTTTTATCACACGGAGAAAAAAATTCAGAATGAAAACTAAAACTTGAATTGCATAAGTCAGTTTGTATAAAATAACAATTGAGAAAGTCCAAGTCATTGGAAGCACTAATCTACATAAGCACTAAATCCCCTGTTTAGTGAGTTGAGAGCTTCCAAGTATCAATGCGCATCATTTTTGAAGTCAGTGACAGTGTTAATGTTGCTATCATTACCTTGAAAGTCTTGTCCATGGAGGCAGACAGCAGCAGATGACTGAGATGAGGCATAGGACACCATTGCACTGTGTTGACTGGGCCCTGGTGGCCTCCCAGGCTCATCAGGAGCCTCCTCGGTATCCCTGCAGCGCCGGGCTTGTTAGCAAGATATGGCTTTACTCTCGCTGATACTTCGGAAAGAATTTGGCTTTCTCTGGTCTGACTCCCTGGGACTTGCTCGGCTGGGTGCACTGTACGGTCCACTGTCTCTACTGAAGTGGTAAGTCTCTGTCTCTTGGGGATGTACGGTCTGACACCAGACGGGACAGTGTGATGTCTTTTTGCTGGTTGGTTCAGCCCATTGCCGAAGCTTTGTGGCATGTGAGTCTGCAGTGCTGAGAAACTCAGAGGAGCTGTGGTATCTCTGAAATGTTTTTCTCGTGTGGTCCTGTAATTGCAATATGTTCTTTCTAAGCCAAAACAGCTCTGTGGCTGTGAATGTAGTGAAGATCTGCTTCTTTCTGAGACATTTCCATGATATGACCTGTCAAGGTCTGATGTGAAGCTGTGAGGGCTCTGGGTTACCTCAGAAGGATTAAATACCCTAACTTCTTGGTCTTGTTCACGGGATCCAGTTGGGACAGAGGTCGATGCTCCCTCATCCCTTTGATCAAGAGAGTCATCCTCTGATTCTGAATCCTCGTAGGCCACTAATGAAGACATCTTCACGTGGTATCAGGGGTGGGATATAAAGGGACAACAGATGAGATGTCAGTATAGCTTATCCATTAGAGGCACAAGGGTGACATCTAGTGGTTGCCTGAATTCCTGCACCTAAAGGTAGTGACTGCTACAACTTTGACAATAAAATAACTTCACCCGGAAGTTTAACCACAAATTTACAAATGTTTTGTTGGGAATGTATTGTCACTAGTGGTGTGAAATGTCTAGCACTCACCTTCGTGCACCAGCCAAGTAACGTTAGAGTGGGAGTTAAGTATGAAGAGGAAAAACCCACTACAAGCTCACAGTATTTTAAAAGACGAAGACAATTTTCTGGAGATATTAACGTTAAAATTGTTCTGTTCTGTCTTCATATCAGTGAACTTACTGCCTTCGGAAAGAGCAAAGACACTGTAGCAATTAGCTTTGTATTGTTTGCTAACGTTAGTTGACTTATAAGCGTAATTTACAGACAGGAAGTTGTCAATGTCACATAACGTTAACACTTTAATCCCCAAATTTGCGTCCAACGCTAGGTTAACTTAACTGCCACCAATATAGCACAATTAGCTAACGTTGGACTTTTGCATGTCTGAAAGCCTAACGTAATAAAACCTACAAAGAAAAGCTACCCGGTGAATCTGCCTTTAAGTGTTATACCTGCAATCTGGTTAAAACTGTTAATACCCGACTCCTGAGGTTAAAACAGCTACACTTCAGGTCCAAAATCCCGCAAAATCATTAAAGAAGATGCAGTTTCAGAATAAAAGAAATTGTTCGATTTCTTCACTCATGTCAGCCTCTTCCTACGCCAAAAAGCTTTTATTTTGAAAGAAGACGGAACAAGAAGCGGCTGTCCCACTCCTCCGACATAGATCGTATTAAATGCATTTACATGCATGTATTTAAATGAATTAAAAGTCATTGGTTTCCTGTGAAATTAAGCCGACAAAATATGGAAAACCTTTTGCGTATTAAATTTAATCAACATAGTGTCAGAGATAGCGCTTTTGCCCTGATTAAATAATAGCGGAACCTTTGAACGGACCTGTTTGCCTGGGAAGAATTTGATCCAAACACTACCTCACACAGGCTGATGCAAGTTGAATGAGTGAGCCGTCAACTGTATGTGAAGAACACTGTACGGTATGGTGGCTAGTCACTGTATTTACATCATCATCATCTTCTCAGTTATTTAATGTAATTTCAATAATTTTATAATTTATTAAACGCGGCAGCGTGATGTAAATCTAGAGGTGGTATCAGCTGATTAGTTAGCTCAATAACCACCAAGTTAGCTGTGCTATGTTCACATATGGGAGTCTTCTCAACTCCTGTGGAAGGAGATACAGTAATGCTAGAATACATACAGCCCTGGGGATTATGTTAACCTCATACTAGATGCGATTCAGAACATGTAATTTTTATTTGCTACACATTTAGTCACTAATTACGTTTAACTGATTTATTACTATTACCTAGCTTAGCCAGTGGGAAGAAGATGACAGACTGTCAGGGAGACGGGGAAGGAGCCAAGAGTCCAATGGAGCTCTATGAGAAACTGACAGCACAGGGAGACCAAGTCAGGGCCCTGAAAACAGCTAAAGCTGAAAAAGTAAGTGCCTCCCTCCCCAAACACACACACACACACACACACTCACACACATTTCCTGACCCCACACTTTAACGCTCAGCTGTGCTTTATGCTCATGTTGTGAACTTTTGCACACACTTGTCAGCATTATATTATAGTATTATTGTATTTTTTGTATACTTGTAAATTTTTTTGATCTCCTTACTTTTTATATATTTATATTTATATTCATGGGTACTGTAAGCACCAATTTATACCAAGGCAAATTCCTCCTATGTATCTGGCAATAAACCCGAAACCCGACTCTGATTCTGATTCTGATTGTAAACTACACTGTAAAAACAGTGATTTGACTCTATGGGTTGGTTAAACTTAATTACCTAAATTTCTCACGTATTGCCAGTGGTATCTAGCCTTACAGATAGTTTTGGTTTGAATTGGCCAGGTTTTGAGATTTCTGCCACTACCCCAAGTACTCCAATGTGATGAGTACAATTTTGTTTGGAGGGCTCACAGTAGAGGTGAGTGATATAATATGACAATATTGGAGAGGCGGTGGCGCATTGGATAAAACTCATAACTTTGGTGTGAAAGATCCAGGTTTTATTCCAACTGTGACACATCCACCAACACAGACGTGCACAAACCTTTTGGGGGGCAGGGGCCCAAGTGAAAATCATAATTATTTATTTAAAAAGATTTGTTATAAAAAAGGACCTTCAGCGCATGCACTTTATTTGTAAGCTTTGCAGTTTTAATGTTGACACCATTTTTATGAAAATGTTTTATTCCTGTTTTATTGAATCAGTTCTTACCTTCTCCTTTATCTGCTGGCACGGGTCACCTTATGTTAAACAGAAAAATTGCCTGCAAGGTGTTGTAAAAGTGTACAGCACAATTGCTGATACACCCTTAAATTACCTCCATGACATGTACGATGTCAGGTCCCTAAAGAAAGCAAGAACAAGTTTGGCTGATCTGAGCCATCCCTTGTGGGGTGAATTCATGCTGCTACCATCAGGGTGCAGATAGTCTGCCACAATGCAGAAAAAATAGGAAAAATGTAATTTACTGACTGTCAGTACCATAGTAAAAACCACCTTGTAAATGTAATTTGTTTTGTATTTTCTGACGTATTTATTGGTTGTTGTTCTGTATCTATTTGGTACTGTTGGCTATGATCCAAAGGTGATCAGCTAATGATCGAGAGGCACTGGTAGCTTAGTCTTTTGTTCATCACCACTCACCTCCACTCAAGCCAAGAAAAAAAACAACTGGTATAGGAGCTGGGAGGAGCTGCTGCCTGCCTGCCTGTGTGTCTGATGTGCTGATGTGTAGCCTACTGTACTGCTGTGAGGCAGAGTGAGAAGGAGGGAGGGCATCGAAACTCTATATTGTTCTATCATCTCCCGAACTGATCTTTAGATTATTTATTCAATAAATATGTATTTGTTATACAGGGAAGCTGTGCACAAACAGGAATACATATATTTATAAATATAAAAAAAGCCTGCGCAACACTTTGTCACTGAGCAAGACACTTAATCCCCAGCTGCTCCAGAGGTGCACGACCTCTGACATATATAACAATATGGATATGGACGCTTTGGATAAATTAATTAATGTAATGTAATATACAGGTGTCGTGCTGAAAAGTGATCGTCCGCCGGAGCGGGAGCGTTAAGGGCTGTATCGCCCCGTGTCTCTTTACAGCTGCTTTTATCTGGATCAAACAGACGTGCAAATAAACATCGCTTTATGTCCATGGTAATAGCAAAGGTATGTCTTTGTGATACTTTAACGGAATAATCGCAATTGCGGCCAAATGCATGCATTATGTGTTTGGTAGGCGTATGTCTAATATCCTTGTTCATATTTGAAAAACGGAATATAGCCTATAATTAACGTGACTTAGTGCTGAGTTATATATAAAATAAAGACATGATCTCTTTTGCAAGTATCCTAATGTCTCTGCATTATTTAACTTGCTGTGTACAATTCAATCCAGTCCTTTTTACCTGTTGAAATACCTTTAAATGGGCAAAACAAAGCATAAAATGCATTATTCTACTTGCCAGAAAGTGATTGCAGCCTCTACTTATTGACTGTAAGGTAGATTCTACACCAAAATGACATGAATTCATTCAGAAGTTCTATTTGACAGATTATAAATCTGAAATTGTCCCCCCTTTTTTATTTCATGTATAATAACATATTTTTTAATGACATACTGACCACCAAACCAAAAATGTCCCCGGTTTTCATTTCAGAAATCTGTTCACCTTACAATATACATCATTTTGATTTATATATATCAAACTGACATACACTTTGATATCCATATAAACCACACCTAACTTACAGCACTAAAAAGTGACTTCCTTTTTTTTTTTACCATTTCAAAAAAGATCTGTTGTTTTCATAACTATTTTTCTGGTAGAATGTAGTTCCACAGAAAACCTTTTAAAGTGAGGTCTGTTGGGTGAGATGCCCAGGTTATCCGCAGTAACCTGGACATTGTTTTGGGAAAGAAACGTGACGTGGTTATTGAATTTTTTTAAATATAAATGTCTAATGTTGTGTGAACCGCTGATAAAATTCCTTTCACCTCCATTGTATTAGGGAGTTGCTGAAATCTCAGAAACAGTTATGCCAGCTTAAACAAAAACTATCTGCATGGCTAAGTCATTTGGGCGAACTGACCCTTTAAAATACAAAGAGACTACTGTAGCTATTCTAGTGCCACATGAATCGTTGCTTTTATCTGTGTGTGTGTTACCTGACAGCAGTGTTTGGGTTCCCCAGGCTGAAATTGATGCTGCGGTCAAGTTGCTGCTTAAGTTGAAGGTGGACTACAAACAGGTGACAGGTCAGGATTACAAAGCCGGCTGTCCGCCCTCAGAAAACTCTGTTGTCCCTGACAACGGGCCAGCAGCAGATGGCGCTGATGACAAAGACACAGTTGACCCATGGAACGTTTCCACCACCAGCGCTAAGGGAGTGGATTACGACAAACTCATAGGTAAGACGTGTGGCCTTCTGCGAAGTTCTGTGGCAAACGGATATTTTAGTTTTTAAATAAGTTACTATATGAATGTCTGTGATATATTTCTAACCATGGGGATCATTTAAGGGCAGCATGTCGTTTAAGCTATACAACAGCTGAATAATTCACATTGTGTCATGTCTTTCCTTAGTAAGGTTTGGCAGCAATAAAATTGACCAGGAACTGGTGGACAGAATAGAAAAAGTTGCGAGACAGAAACCTCACCACTTTCTACGAAGAGGAATCTTCTTCTCACACAGGTCAGCATTTTAGGTAGTGAATCAGCGCAAGCTCTTCATGTTTTCTAGTTCCTAACTTCTAAAGTATGGGTGTTTCACAGATGATTGTCGTCCGTAGACACTTAGTCATTTCGGAAAGTGTGTCAGCTTTAAAATATCCGCTCTGAAACTTTGACTTTAGCCATTATCATTCAGATTTTGCTGTTAAGTTAAATGGATGGTGGTGAGAAGGTGGGAGTTTATGTGGGAATTAACACGTCAATAAATCACTTTCCTCGTATCGCTGTTTACGGCAGAGATATGCATCAGGTACTGGATGCATATGAGAAGCACAAGTCCTTCTACCTTTACACTGGCAGAGGTCCGTCCTCAGAGGCCATGCATGTGGGTCACCTCATCCCCTTCATCTTCACCAAGTGAGTTCTCCCTCTGTAACCTATTAATACCAAAGAGCTGTCCAACTGAAGGCAGGTTCGATTGTTAAATCAGTGTGAGTCATAATTAAAACTTACTTCTGTGTTGCAGATGGTTGCAGGATGTATTTGACATCCCATTGGTGATTCAGCTGACTGATGATGAGAAGTACCTGTGGAAGGATCTAACACTAGAAGAGTGCCACCGTTTCGCTGTGGAAAATGCCAAGGACATCATTGCCTGTGGCTTTGATGTCAACAAGACCTTCATCTTCTCTGACCTCGACTATATGGGGTAAAATATCACATCTAACACAAAATATGATCTTTATATTCTCATCTGGCAGACTTTACTGCAGAGGCTTCCTAGGATCCATAGAAGCCCTGCTATATTTATTAAGGAAACATAGGATAAGGATATAACCTGAGTCTGCACAGAATTGTTTTGTTTTTTAATGTGTTCATTTTGACATTTTTCCTGCAGTGCGTCCCCTGAATTCTACAGGAATGTGGTAAAGATTCAGAAGCATGTGACATTCAACCAGGTCAAAGGTATCTTTGGCTTTACAGACAGTGACTGCATTGGTAAGACAACTAAGAAAGCTTTAATGGTGAAATTATCATTATTTGAGCAACCATTGAGTCTAAAATTCAAAGGGGGCTTTTTGGCATGGGAAACATGTTTACATTGTCAAATAATCATTGTGATAAGTCATTGTGAAATAATAACAACAACAAAAATCTATTCACCAGGGCAGGAACTTCACAAATGTCATGGCCTCTGTTGTAAATTGTTGGATATAAGTTATCCTGGCCAGCTTCCCTGATGAATGGTTATGCTTATTTACAAGCATTAACAAATTAGAAAAAATAGAATACCAATAAATTCATCATTCATCTTTAGGATAAATTCAAACTTTCAATGCACTTTGTGCTCAGAAAAAGATGACATCACCAAAGGCCTTGCCATTCATATGATGAAATTCCAGGCCTGCTACTAACAATACTTTAGAAAGAGGAACAACCATGAAATGAAAAAATGAAACTTTTTAGTGCAGGCCAAGCACTTTCCTGTTTTTAAATTTTTTTATTTCCATAGCACTTTCATAGAGAGTTATTTTTGGTAACTGATTGATTCATTGCCAAACCCAAAGTGACTTTTTCAAATTGCTTTCATAATCAGGCCGGCAGCTGAAAAACGACTGGTGGTTTTCATATGAAATTGCTTTGATATACATGAAACATTTCACTGAAATCCTGTATTTAGTGGTTTGTATTACATGTGAAGCGGTGTGAATACCTTGTTGTTTCTTTATGGCGCTTATTATTTTTTATCCATCCAGGAAAGATCAGCTTCCCAGCCATCCAGGCAGCCCCGTCCTTCAGCAACTCTTTCCCACAGATCTTTGGAAGCAGAAAGGATATACAGTGTCTCATCCCCTGCGCCATAGACCAGGTCAGGACAGTGTTGGGGATTAACAGAGGGGAAGGTTTGGGTATTAGTTAAAAATCAAAGATATTCTATAAATCTTAATAAAGTTATTAATATCACAAATGATTAATTAAAATTAATAAGTATCAGGCACCACCTGGAATCAGGGACCAATAACCACACCTCAAAGCAGTCCCAAAAAAGGGTGTTTACCTATAAACTATCAACAATGTAACATTATTCATTAATGATAGTGAAGGGTGAGTCCGTACTCTGGCTGTCTCATCCAACTGTGAGAGGGGGTAGTCGACGCGAACATGTGGGTGGCTTACCAAATGCTAGTTAAAAATGGCAGCTCAAGACCGCAAGAATCAAGACGGGGTTTGGGACCCCAAAATGGTGGAGGCCGTGTTCCTCCTCTCACCCAAAATGACTACACCTTATCACACGAGGACCAGCAGAGGACATATGTTCACTGGCATGTTCTTGGCCTTTAGACTTCGATAAACGGGCATTTAATGATCACACTCACAATAACGGAACTCTACAGACAACAGGGTCTGCGGCATGGCACCGATACAACTTTGAACAACGTGCTTGAGCACGTAGAGACAACACAGCAATATAGGGGACGTGGTGATCTGTACAATCCATAAATAATGATAGAAAGCTTAGTACATAATTATACCTTTTCAGTTCCTTGTTGTTTACCTATTAGTGTTGTTGTCTGGTCCCAACAACACTAATAGGTAATAATACTACATACTAGAGTCATATTTTACAATGACCTGTGTTTGTATCTATCCTCTCCCTCATCCAGGACCCCTACTTCAGGATGACCCGTGATGTCGCTCCAAGGATCGGTTATCCCAAACCCGCTCTGCTGCACTCCACCTTCTTTCCAGCCCTGCAGGGGGCGCAGACCAAGATGAGCGCCAGTGACGCCAACTCTTCTATTTTCCTCACTGACACACCCAAGCAGATCAAAAACAAGGTTACTATTTAATACCATCAATAGTCACTGGTCAGATTTATATTGCCTATAATTGCTGACTGTCTGGTCTGACCTATGGAACCATTGCTCACAGATCAACAAACATGCATTTTCTGGGGGAAAAGATACAGTGGAGGAGCACAGGAAGCATGGTGGAAACCCAGACGTAGATGTCTCGTTCATGTATTTGACCTTCTTCCTGGAGGATGATGAACAGCTCGAGAAGATCAGACAGGTGAGGGTGTAGAGAACAGAGAAAACAAATGATAGCTTCCAAACTTTATTTATTTTGCTAATCACACACTTTCCTCTGCTTTCTGTATCTTTATCTTGTTTGTCATTCTCCTCTGCACCCTCATCCTCTCCTTCAACTTCCTTTCTGCACTCGCCTCGGATCCACTCCCTCTCCGTTGATCTCTCTGCAGGACTACGCAAGTGGAGCTCTCCTAACTGGAGAACTGAAGAAGATTTTGATCGAGACTCTGCAGCCCATTATTTCCCAGCATCAAGAGCGGCGCAAACAAGTCACAGATGAGACAGTCAAGCAGTTTATGACACCCAGGCCGTTAAACTTTAGCTTATAGCCGGCTTGAGCCCCTGAGATGTCAAGGTTAATCATGTCATTACTCCCAGTACAAGAGAAAATGCTTAATCCAACTTTTTCCATTGAAAAATATTGTAATTTTTAATGGGAAGAGGGACATTTTCTCATACAGTAGAATATTCTAAATGTAAAGTACTGGAGCGATGATTTGCTTCTCTGTGTGTGTCAAACTAAGCATGGCATTGCCCACACCTTCATGCTAATTGTCATGCAACTTGTTAGCTTCACGCTGCACCAAATGTACACATTTGTCTTCATGAAGTGTTGCGCTGCTTTAACATGAGCCCTACTCCTCACTTTGAAATCAGTCCAGGATGAATGACGATTAAAGCTTACATGTGTATTTGTTGCAAAATGTGCTTAGTGGACGACAACATGGCTACAATGTTGATACAATGAAAAATGTTGGTTATGAAGTCTTATTTTACTTTGCTAAAAACAGCATTCTGAACAATAACTCACTTTGAAATTATGAAAAGCATCTGTGTAGTGTATGGTGTGAGGAGATAATAGGAGATATATGATGAGCCGTTAATCTCTTAAGAGTTTGAGCACAGACCAATAAGTAGGCTACCGGTGTCTTACTTAAGGGAACTAAAGTAAATGTGTTTGTTAAAAGGGGCTTGACTCAAGGTAACTCTTTCTGTAAGCACGTTCTAAGTTAGAGGTTTCATTCATCTTATGCCCAGACTAATATATGTATTTTATTTACATGGACACATAGTAAATATATATATATAATATACACAAATTAATATTGACATTTTGTGATATAATAACTGCACTGTTGTCAAAGACGTAATTTGAGCATGGAACAGTGAATCCATATTACATCACATTCCATTATGTCTTTGATACAAATTTATTCTGAATATACCTATATTTCAAGGTAAAACAATAATAATAATAATAATAATGGAGCCAAGTAGGTCACAGTCTTAACTTACAGACCTCCTGCCAGAAGCACCACTTTCCATTCTGTATGTAGAGGAGACATTTGTATTATATGTCCCTGGGCTGAAATCTGAAGGGTCCATCTCACAGAACAAGTGCATTTAAACTTTCTAGGATTTAAACAAACAAGAATACAAGGATGACACTGGACAGGTATTTGCCTCTTTGCTTTGATTGTTTGCTGTGTTGGAAATTAGCCTCCAGTCATTCAAAGGATGGATGTGTAAACGCCTCTTAAAGGCTGTAAAAACTTTTATTGTTTGCTTCACGCAAGACGTGCTTCAAAAATATCAACGCCAAATACATGTGTGCAAATATCCTTTAAAGGTAGGTGCATTTAAAAAAAAACAGAATTGTTCTCATCTGCTATAAGACATCAGTTTGACAGTCTTACCATATGCAGACAAAGTTCAGTAAATAAATGTTTTTTTAAACGCACCTGTTCAACTCCTCCAGTTAGGCATGAGAAGCAGACATGGGCATCTGAACTTCCATGCCTTAGTTTACAGAAATACTGAAGGACATCCCTGTAGGTCCTGAATGCTACAGAGAAGGGAGGAACACAGCTATGAGTGGCTTTTTTACAAATCAATCAATTAATGGAGAAAATAATCAGCAGATTATTCCATAATGAAAATAATACCCTATAAAACTAGGTCAAAATTAGCTCCACCTCAAACAATACTTTAACATGCATGCATGAGTAATAATAATCTAATGATATAATAGTGTAGCAATCACAGGAGACATTTTTCTGCATTGAGTACTTTTAATAGGCTACTCTTTTTTCCTGAATATACTAAAATACTTTTAGATAACATTTTCAACGCAGGACTTTTACTTGTAACAGAGAAGATTTTTACAATGTGGTATTAGTACCTTTACTTAAGTACAGGCTCTGAATGCTTCCTCCACCACTGCCTAGTTGGACACTTGCTGATGATCACCCCTACGATGACGCTGTGGATTTCGACGGTAGAGATCTCTGCTGCTCCCCCCGGCGGCGGCCAATGGGTGTGAGGGGCGGACAGTACCCGCTAGGGGAGTCGTCTCCTTCCAAGTAATCCGATTGGTCTGCCTTAAAAAGGGGCAAACACGCCGCTTCTTCTTTTCTACTTTGAAGCCTACCTCCTCCTCCCGCCGTACAGAAATAGAAAAGGTTTGACATGAAAGAGCATTTCTAGTAGTGAGAGTGAGGACACATCAGCGAAAAGTGACCTCAGTCTGCCGCCAGTCCGCGTGGTTACCATTAGCCGGAGGAACTTGTTATCTTCACGTTTGCTCAGCATCAAAACAGCGTATTTCTGAAAGAGCTAACCAGCTTGGCGGAACATCAAGCCGGTGTTTGTAACACACCCAAGCTCGGACAGGTCCTGGGGAGAATATTTATAACAAAGTAACGTTACCCATTAAGGTCTTGTGAATTACGTTTGTCAGCCACCGAGTTAGCTTGACAAATTCAGCCGGAAGACTTTTGGGGGAATGGCATTAGACTTCGCTGCGGGCTGTATAGGAGGTAAGTAATTAGCTAGTAGCCACGTTAGCCAGGTTAACAAGTTGAAGCTAACGACTAGCGTTAGCTTTTTTGTAGCAGCAGCTGTCGTTAGACAACGCGTGGGCAGTTGTAAAGTTAGTGATTTGTGCCCGGCTGCCACGTATTAGACACGACATAAATAATGAAAGTGAAAGTGTTTATGCTCTCTGTTGACGTTCACAAAAGCCCTTGTTTCGTTTTAATTACACTTGCACAAGTCCAGCCCTAAGCCCTCAGAAATGTAAAAAAACCCAAAAGAAGTTTGTCTATTGTTATCAGACATTCCTCGTTGGTGAGCAACCCTCTAAAGTTCGAGAAGCAGGTTTGAGTCCCCGTGAGAATCTTGTCAGCTGTCTTTGCCCAAGGCCAGACTTCCAGATAGCCTCACTTGAGGGCGCAGGTCCTGATGTGGTGATGTGAAAGTTTTGTCCAGACAGCCTGGTCTAAGTTTTGTCGTCTGTTGTCTCTGCAGTCATACCTGAATTTTACTTTATTCATTCTCATGGTTATTATTTTTAGTGTTATTTTTGACTTTTAAAGCGCTGATTGCTTTTCTCATGTCTGTGTTGTTTGGATAATGTGTGTCAAGTGCATGTATGCCTTATCAGTTTACTGCAATTCAAGTCTGCATGTGGGTACAAATAAAGTAACCTAATCTTACTGTAACATGAAAGGCGAATTTTCATTTCAGCTCTCAATGTGGAAGAGCTCTGTTGACCTCAGTTTTGGGACTCGTAATGAGCTAATGCAGTCATTTATTTCTCAATAGAAATGTATTCTGGTTTGTGCTCATCATAGTTACTGATATATTCTCCTAAGGCTACTCTGGATCCAGTCCAACACCGCCACAGACTACTTTGAAGTTTTATTCACTGATTCACACAAAGGTGTGTAATTGTGCATAATTTGCACATTAGGACTGCAATACACATCCATGCAATAGTGCTATTGTATAATGTTGTATAATGGCTTTTGGGCTCATTCGCATAACTCAAGGACAGGGCAATGTTAAGCTTTCGTCATTGGGTACAGTGACCAGCTGATTGCCTTGCTCAGCCTCAGGGGGACGGGCTGTTTGCTGTTGCGAAATGAGCCACTTGATCATAAGCCATTGTCTTTCTCAAAATTTAACTGTATTTGGAATGCTTCACTGCGATTAATCAATAATTAGGCTACAAACACTATGTACTAAAGTGCTGTCCCAATACTTTATGGAGGGGCAGTTTTTTCATGGTGTGCTCTTGGTTAACAATATTAGACAATATTTTATTTAATATTATAACACTTTGTGTTTGGCCTTTTCCATTTATTCATTTTAGCTGACGCTTTTATCTTGCTCAGGGACACATTGGTGTATGGGCCACAGTGGGGGATTGAGTCTTATCCACTGCTCCATCACCTGTTTCAATATGACGATGTCCCCGTACACAAAGTCGGCTCCATAAAGAAATGGTTTTCCCAGTTTGGTGTCAAAGAATTTGACTGGCCTCAACCCTGTATTTGTGTCCATATAGTGTAGTATCCGTAGCCATATAGCTTTTAGGCGTGCATTGCTATAGTGCTTTTATCAGGCCAAGAAGACAATGACAGATGAGTAATTTGTTATTTTCCAATATGATGTCTTGTTTTTCAGGTGCTGCTGGTGTTTTAGTCGGACATCCATTTGACACTGTGAAGGTGGGTGTCTGTTCCATCCTCTTCACTATTTACTCACGTTAGGCAATGGCATGATCCAGTACATTGCTGTAATGTGATGTTGTAAGTCAGACCACTCTGTTAGCAGCTTGAATTTGAATCCAGATAACCTAACTTTACACCTAGGGAGGCTGTCTACTGAGCCATATGATTAATGTGGGGATATTTTTAGGACAAAGATATTAGTCGATCTGTCAATGGCAGTTTAATCTTATGCTGATCATGTTTTCTGTCGTGTATATGTATTTATGTCTAAACAGATCATTTATACATGTCTTCAAAATCCCCCTTAATTGTCTTATGTTTAAGAAAGTGTAGAGGGAGCAACACTTTCAACAGATTGTAAAAGAGATAACTTAATATTGTTGTCCACCACCAAACAAGTTAGCAGTATTGTTCTAGCTCATAGTTTCACAAATGCTTAGCTTTTAATCAGTGTACACAGAAGTTCAGAACAAGGAGGTGCACCCATTTCATTTTTAAAATTGTAATCATCCTAGGCTATTTAGGAACATCTGCTTCAGTTACTGGCATTTTGCTGAATAACTCTAGTATTCTGTAATCCTATACAGTCACTGTTTTCAACTAACCGCAAGGTCAAAGGAAGCATCATAGTCATCAAAGTTAGTAGACTTGTCTGTGTACTCCTTTGACTCTTCGGCTCCCTCTCGAAATTTTAGGGAGGGGGAAAAAAAGCAGGACTACTTTATGCAGTTTTCTGACATCACATTGAATATTACCGTAAATTCAAAGAAATCATCCAAAGTTTTCACTTAAGGCCACTAACTCATAAGACTGCACTCGATATGCTGTCATGAATGCACGTAGTTTGTTAGGCAAGGAAGTTTTTAAAAATGGCACACACTTCATTGAAGTTGCACCCTCCACTTCAGATACGTACATACAGAGATGGTGAATAGTTTGCTTGTAGCTCTTTTTATGCATTGCTTTCAATGTCATTTCTCCCTGAGTCAGTGTCTAGGGAGGCTGTCTTTAACAGCAGCAGTGTCACAGTGTTGTAGATGAGAGGAATAAACAACCTCTCCGTGGATATGTGACCTAGTAAGTATGGTCAAGTGCTTCCCTCCCCCACCCCACCCCCTCACCAAATGTCTTGTCTTGAGCTATAGAAATATAAAGCAAAGAAGACAATTTTTTTTCATTCTTGGTTAGTTTTTTTTCTCCCTCATGTTGCACCCCCTAAGCATCCTTTTTTACCCTGAAAATATAACCATTTCAAAGTACTGTTGCCTACTTGTTTCGCTTTAAACCTGTATTACAATATGTGGTTTGTAGTTGTTGCGGCCCTCTTTGGCCTTATTACGCTGGCATACGACTCTGACACAAGGGCTGTCATCCACAGGTGAGGCTTCAAGTTCAAAATGTGGACAAACCTCTGTACCGTGGGACATATCACTGCTTCCAGTCAATCATACGCCAGGAGTCGGTAAGCTTGTGTTTGCTCTGTGAATGCCTTTTTAATGTTTTACCACCTTCCTTTCAAAGTTGTCTTAGATATTACCATCTTTAAAAATGTCACAGCTGTAAAGTAATGTGTAGTGTTTTTTACCGTGTGCTGCTTCCTATGCCAACGTGGAGAATGGTCACTGCACTAATTAAAAGTGTCCAGTTACAGTGCCATCTAGGCAGCATGTTCCTAACATGGGGCGTTAGGGGTGGTGTGTCTGTTAGCCAGGGTCAGTGAGGACCTTATTTCTGCATGGGCTAAATAAAGCTTTGGACAACGTGCCATTCGAGCTAAGTGGCTCAGTCTCTGTTTGTTGGATGTATTGCATGGAGGTATTGGACTGTATTCCCCTCTACAGAACAATATTAACATAAGTGCATGCTGTCGCTGCACCTCTCTCAGGGAGTATTTCAATATTTTAAAGTGTACAAATGATTAATTTCTAGGAATTAATTACTAGTTTGTGTGCACAAATGTTCAAAAACCTGCCTACAAAGGTGTTCCCTCAGTGGTCCCAGTAATCTGTCTTTGTGTGTGTAGATCCTCGGCCTGTACAAAGGTATTGGCTCTCCAATGATGGGCCTGACCTTCATCAACGCCATAGTTTTTGGTGTCCAGGGCAACGCCATGCGCAAGCTTGGCCGTGACACACCTCTCAACCAGTTCCTGGCTGGAGCATCTGCTGGAGCCATCCAGTGTATCATTTGCTGCCCAATGGAGCTGGCCAAGACACGCATGCAGCTGCAAGGGACTGGAGAGAAGAAGTCGAAGAGGAAGGTGTACAAGAACTCCCTGGACTGTCTGGTGAGAATCTACAATAAGGAGGGAATCCGGGGTATCAACCGTGGCATGGTGACCACCCTGCTGCGCGAGACGCCTGGTTTCGGAGTGTACTTTCTTGCTTACGACGTGTTGACACGTTCCCTGGGCTGCGAGCCAGAAGACCCTTACATGATCCCCAAGCTGCTGTTTGCTGGCGGGATGTCGGGTATCGCTTCCTGGCTGTCCACCTATCCCGTGGATGTGATCAAGTCGCGTCTTCAGGCGGATGGGGTTGGTGGCATCAACCAGTACAGTGGCATTATGGACTGCGTCAGGCAGAGCTTAAAGAAGGAGGGGTGGAGTGTGTTCTCGCGCGGACTCACGTCCACTTTGCTGCGCGCATTTCCGGTGAATGCTACCACATTTGCCACAGTGACACTGTTTTTATTGTACATGCGTGAGGGAGAGGAGTGTAGCATTCAGGAGCCACAGTCTGTCCAGTTACAGCCTCTGCCGCCACAGCCAACCAGCATGGAAGCTATCGCGCAGCAGTAAACAGCAAATCTATCCAGTATAAATGGAATCTGCATGCATGCAGGTCTACAATCTGTTAACTGGTGTCCGTATTGAGAAAGGTGAACTGATCCTAGGTGAGCATCTACCCTTGGAGCTTCAGCAAAGTGACCACATGTAGTATTTAAATAATATATTTTGCGATAAAAACTGCACTTGTAAATATGGTCTGTTTTTAAAAGCCCTAGGTTTTGTACACTTTTTTTGACTTTTACGCAATTTAGGAAACCCAACGGTACAAGAGTTACTGTAACGTACTGTACAGAAACAGTTCCTAATAGTCAAAGAAACACTCAAAATGGAGTATGTTTGAAAATCATGTTAAGAACCGGTCTCCACTATTAGACATGCCTACAGCATTCGGTGATAGTTGTTGATTACCAAAGAAAGTCTGCAAAGTTTGTACTGTTCCTTTGTGCAAACGTCCATCAGTGAAATTAATTTTAAATATTTAATTTTAAGCGGGTTAACCAGTGTATCATAATCCCTCTGTGGTGTCCAGGTCAAGTCTTCCACAGCCGCCTCCATATAAAGTGAGCACCGCATTTCAGCATCTTATCATAATGGTTACAATACAAAGAAATCCTTGAACATGCTACACGCTCCTTGTACAAGCACATTTATGTAGGTATTCTTTTTCTGAAATTACAACTGTGGTTAAACTTTCCTATGAAGTCATTGGAATTTGATTCAAGTTGTGGATGCTGAAATTTATCACTTCTATACTTTTATAACTTTCTCTACTTTAATAATCCGCATTGGACCCTGAATTTCCTAATGAAAATGTTACAGGCTATAATTTTATGACACTATCATTGTCTAAAACTAAATCTGATGCAGTTTTATATCTTTTTGGACTTTTATTCAGTATCCAAAGGAAGCACCTTATGGGATGATATTAAGCAATTGTACGGTTAAAACAAATTTTCACTTTGCAATAGATTTTATATTTGTATTTCCCACTAATGCAAGATTCTGTTACAGTGTCGAACAAAACTGGTGGCTTGACAAAAGTGGGATTTTTAAAATCCAAAGTGTATTTTGTCAGTAGATGTGAAGCACAATGATTAACAGGCTCCACATTCTCCACAAGATAGATTATAATTCAGTTTATGGCTTGAAATGCCTGGTGTGAACTTTTTGTGAAGATCTTGCAAATGATTGTATCATTTAAGTCTGTCTCTAAACATTTACGAATCTGTTCATAAAATTGACATTCAGACATTTGACCATCAGAGAGACAAGTGTTATTTATATGGATAGTCAGTTGTCAAGAGGTTACTATTGTGCAAAAAAAAAAGTTGGTAACAGATTCTATTGTCTTAAAGCCTCTAAATCTGTCCCTAAAAGTTTTAAATCCATGAACAAACAAAATCTGGTTAGGACCCCTCCGCTTCCCCCTCACTATTAACCATTATAGGACAGAGCACACAGAGCCATGTAACCTCTGTACTTGACCCATTTAACAGCTGATCGCGTTAGCAAACTCTTTGCAGGTTTAAATTGTAAACTATAACACGTCAAACAGAAACGGCAAAAAGCACTTGTAGCATCTAACTGCAGGTGAAACTTATCAAAATAGCTGGAGCTCTTTCTTTCCATATGGATAGAAGGCACACATCTTCATATCTACATCTGCAGTTATAAACTGCTGCTGCTGTTACTTTTCTCATCAGTGAGTGGCAGATGTTTGACTGGGACTTTTGGGTTGTCTAAAGACTATATAGTGTGTGTGTGTGTACTGTGAATTGGGGGTTTGCTTTTCATGTCATCCTTTCTAAGTATAAAGGTGTGAAATCTATTTGCTTATTTTTTCTGTTTCAAGACTTCTGTTCTCTGTTTTGTAATGGACGTTTGTCTGACTGTACCGGTGGATGATGCATGATTGCTGATATCTTTGTAGAGCTGCTTTAACTGTCTAATGTTGCCCGTGTGTACTATACTTTTTTTTTTTTTTTATGTACAATATCTTGCACTAAAGCAGCATGTGCACTATGTAGTTCTTTCAGAGAATGATTAAATAAAAGCCACAACTGTTCATGGTACAGCTATTACATGTTATATATTTATATATTGTAACCCTTTTAATGATTTGTCAGAAAGCCAAACCGGCAAATGGATGAGTTGTTGAGCAAGTCAAGTGACCATAGAGAAATCCAGAAACGTGTTGTTGAAGCAATGAAAGACTGACCTCTAATGGTTATAGATAGGTATCACAGATTTGACATTTGGTGCTTAGATCACTCTTTCAAATATTTGAAGGGCAACATGACAGTACTTTGACAAAATAATGTACAAAAATTGTTTATTAAAGATATTTGACTATTTAACTCAGAATATGGTTAAACAAATGTATCCATTATTTTGACAAACAATAAGTTATTCAAGTGTCAAATATTGAGTTGTTATGATCACAATATTGCTACGATACTGACAGGATTAGTGCCAGTACATGAGTCTTAAGGGAATCACTTATCACCGAAGTGATAAAAAATGGTATACCTTACATCAAGAAACCTGTGGTTGAGTTGAGCCGTGTTTCCTCTTCAATTTATCGTGCAAGAAAGTTGAAGCAATATCCTGTTGCTCTTCTCGTCATCATATAGAGCAGTAACTGTAATGCTCTGGTCCCTGGTGAGTATGAATGCCCGCTAGCTGTTTTTCCCTGGTTTTGATGTGTTCATGAGTAAGGAGTCACAGGAGTAACGCAGGAAGCGGTAGATCTCCTCAGCTCTGCTTCGACTCATACAGCCTCCCTTCTGTATTGCTTCAATGGAGCTGCAAGAAGAACGAAAGGGGATGTTGTACTATGTAAACAAGACGGGAAAGAACGTATCTGTTCTGTTTAGAGACACACACACTACTTTTACCTGTTCATGAGTTGAGCAATTGACCTGAAGTTGTGGCTCATGTTGAGGGCATGGACATAGCTTACTGAGGGGAGGCTCAAGTACAGCTGCAGGGCCTGCTGCCTGTGCTGCCCTTTGACCTCCAGCGGTATGCCGATGCCCTGACCTTTACGCTGCTCCAGCCGCGCCAGGTCTGCCAGCAGGCCGGCGCTCTGCTCAGCCCCGTCGCTCCACAGCAAGCGCACCCCGGTATGCACCAGCGCTATCAAAGTGCTGTCATAGTATCGTGTTCGCTGAAAGTGACGCGACGCCTCACCTGTGACAATTATACAGATCAGAAACACAAACACAAAGCAAATTGCTGTGCAAACTATGAACAGTTCCTGTAATGTAGACCTTCAGATTATGAAGAACATTGTGTCCAGTGATATTTGCAATTGTCTGATGTTTTTCCTGATTATTGACTAATTGTTCGGTCAATAAAAATATCAAAAGAAAAAAGCTGCAAATCTTCACATTTAAGAGGCTGGAATAATGAAATGAAAACCATTATGACTTAACCATTAATTAATCGTTTCAGCTATAATTTATAATGTATATTTGCATAACTTAAACCATATTTAAATTCACCATGCTGTACAGGAATGATGAATCTGTGCAAAAGTCTTGTATTTAACCAAATGTGGCTTCATATCAAGTAATCAAATCACTCTGCTGACTGACCCGGCTTGGTTCGGTCCTTCTCCACAATCAGACAAACACGCTCAAACAATCCCTGCAAGCTGTTCACTCTTTCAGCCAATCGCTTCCGATTTTGCATTGTGGCCAAATCTGACTGGCCGTGCCTCTCCACTGCCATGCGGTTGCTGACGATAAAGTAGTTGCCGTCCAGCGAGCAAACGTGGACGGTGGCAGCGTGGCGCTGGCGCAGGCTGGCCATCAGCTCCACTCCACTGCTGATGCAGCGGCTGTCCACCAGAATGCAAACGGGTCCGGATGCTGCAGGGGACTCGTTGACTGACGAGCCCTGAGCAGAGGGCTTCTGAGGTTCTGAGGAGGTGGCGGGGAGTGTCTGGACAAAGGAAAGCAAAACCTTGATGTAGTCCATTTTTTACTTTCACACATATTGTATGCTCCTATGTACAGGTGTGTTGTCCTGTTTTTGCTCGTACCTGGGGTTGTTTCTTGGAGGATAACAGCAGCTCTGGCTCTAGGAAGTCCAGTTCATCAGAGAGCAGATGCTGGTTTTCCAGCCTCTGGCAACACCTGCAGTAGAAAGAAAACAATGCTCTAACTGTTGTTGAGTGTTTGTGTGCTACCATATGGGAACTTCTTTACCTCTCATTTTGCTGGTCATCAGCCCCCGAGCGTCTCTGTGCCTTGCTCAGCAATGACACCTTAGATGCTATGGTTGAAGATGAGGAGGAGGGGGGTTTCTGCTGCCGCCAAGGCCTACTTTGCTCCGGCTGTACCGCCTTTGGCCACAAGGGGGCAGCAACACCCTCCTCTGTTGTGACACTTCTCTTTTTACACATTTCCTCTGTCTCCTCCTCACTAGAATCACAAACGCGTATGACACGGGCATGCTTGGTTTTCATCCCCGCTCTCTGCTCTGGTGGCGCTTCAGCTGCAGTCTTAGAGCCGGCTCGGGCTCCTGCTCTGGCTTTGTGCAGGAAAACACGCCGCCTGGTGGCATACTGCCTCTTCCCGTCCACATACGAGTCCTCGGGCATAAGTTCAATGTCTTCGGCCTCTTCCTCGCTGCTCTTCAGCTCCTCCACCTCCTCAACCTCACTGCCCACCACAAAGCTGTCCTCTGCATAGGTTTCATCCATCTGAGGCACCTGGGACCAAAGGTTAGGAACATGGACCGTAGTCATTGATTAGACTAAAAGTTAACTATATTACTCGTTATAACTCAAGTTTACTCAAGTATTTGCATTGAGTAAACAAAAGCTGAAAATTAAACATTGTATACCTGGGAAAATATGTCCATGTTGTGATGATTCCTGTAGGACATTTTGAACTTGCCCTGGATTGCAGGGCTTCTCACTGACTTCAGGTAAACACCGTGCATCTCTGAGTCTGATATAGGGGAGACAGGAAGACCAAGAAATTTAAATTCCTTCATTCACTTAAGCTCAAACACGTAAATTCGTTGAATAAGATCAAACTATAATCCACTGAAGGTCTAATTAAACCACATTTCTTGGAATAACCACAGTGTTGTACCGTTCAGTCCCTGTGAGAAGTGGGTGTTATCAACCACAAAGCCTTCAAGAGACCGGTCCAGATCTTCTCCATCATCTTCGTCAGATGACACATCTGCCCCCTCCTCGTCCTCCTCCTGCTCTGCTTCTTCATCCAGGAACTGACGCCCTGGTCGACATACGGTGTGCTGAGAAGGGAACGATGGAAAATATCAAGGCTTGACGGATTACGAAGCTGTGCTGATAGATATTTTTAGACATGACATTTTAATGTAAGGAGGAAGGTGTCATTTTATGGGTAAAAGTTAAGCTGGACTGAAATGTGTTCTGATTGTATTCTGAAGGCGACAAACAGCAGCTACTTTTGGTGTGTGTTTTTAAAGTGTTTTTCTGCCCACTTACAGTAAAACCTGCATTTGTATGTAAACAGGTGCCATTCATTCCATGCATTGAAAACATGAAAAAATCAAATGCTATAAATTCAGATTCAGATCACAGAGTCCTACTTTGGCACCTGTTGCCACACAGACCTTGGCTTTGCGCTGTTGGACCGGTTGCCTCTCAGCTCCGTGTGCTAGGTTTCTGCGTGTGAACACGGACTCGTTCTGGAAATCGTCATCAGAAACAGCTTCGCCCTCCATTTCATCCGACTGGAGACCAATGAGGAGAACAAATGAGTTGAATACTGTACACAGTGAATGGTTTATGATGCTGCATGTTATTAAACCATGATTGCGTGAAGGACATTTTTATAAGTAGTGCACGGAGTGAAAGTATTAAATAAAAGTGTCTGTGTTGATTAGGCTGAACCATCAATTTCATTCTTTACCACTAATGAAGAAAATCTTACAGTGTTAAGTGCAGCTGCACGTCTCCTGTTCACAACCACCGGGGAGTCCACGTCACTGGAGATCTTTGACTAGCAGAGACAAAACATGTTACATACGTACATACATGTGCAGTGTGTGTCTGAACTTAATGCTCCTGTTTTGCTAAGACATTTCAGGAGCTGAAAATCCCTCTTCACTGCTTGCAAGCCTGTTGCCATGACAACTGCAGGCACCTGCAGGAAATGATGGACAGAGGCAGCCTGAGATGTCTGAATCAGATAGCTCCTGTCTTGCCTGTTTTTTCTGAGGATCACTTTTTATGTACTATGTATTTGTAATTGTAAACTAAAAGATTAGAATTTAAGCCACCATCTTTTTGTATACGAGACGTATACATTAACCTTAAGAGTGGGATAAAAGAACAAACTGATTTATTCTTATTTCTTTTTAGCAAAAGCTTTAGCTTTCATTCACTGGTTCCAGGTTCTTGAATGTGAATATTTTCTGGCATTTTCAGTCTCCTGTGATAGTAAACTGGGTATCTTTTGGTTTTTGACATTTGAAAATGTCACCATGGGCTCTGGAGAATTTTCAGACATTTTATAGACTAAATGATTAATCCAGAAAACAATCAGCAGATTAATAAAAATAATTATCAGTTGCAGTTTAACAGGCCTTGCACACCATTTCCGGGGACCACAATGGGTTGTTGTGATGTCTTCTTTTATGAAGCACAACGTCGTCCTCACTGTCACTGCTGCACTCCACTAAGACAAAAGGTGAGAAAGACGGCAGGTTCAAAATGGACCCAATTTAAAGTTTAGGAATCAGACTTTTTGAAGGGGTAAACAAACCTGGATGAGGAGAGGAGCCAGCCACGCAAACAGATTCCTGATGTGAGCTGTTTTCCACACCTGACACACCCTCTGCCTTGGCGGTGTGACCCTCCAGACGTCTCCGCTTCAAGCTGGAGAGCAAAGATGGTGTGTGAGGCCCAGCGGTACCGGGCACAAGCATCCGCCTGGCTGCCGGCGATGCAATCGGAGATGGGAGCGCACCGCCCAGAAGAGAGGACATTTCTCTCCCCCTGTGCTCTGACAGCATTTGTGGGGTAGATAACGTGTGTTCACTGAACTGTAGGGGCATTCTCTGTCTA